TGTTCAGAGCCGCACTTAACGCGTCACGTGCTCATAACCCGTCATAATCTCACTTCAGGCCTCACGTGCAAAGAGAACTAGTTTTTCGTATGACAAACTAAATAGTTTGTACCCACACTGTATTCCCCGGGGGCCTTTTCCTCACACGTGAGCCCAGTTTTGGTTGAGAATCACGGCGTTGCTGGCGTTGCTTCGGCGTTGCTTCGGCGTTGCTTCGGCGCTCCGCGCGCACGCCATGTGCGCTGCGATCCATTAACACTCGCACTTCCCAGTTTGGACAGCAGGATGAAGAATGCCGCTCGCGCGCCATTGAGCCGAGTATTTCAGAGGAGCGGCATGTCGTTCTGTCTCTCTCGCACCCTTGTACAGTGCCCCGCGAGTGCGACAGAGAGACGAGACGACTCTCCTGAATCACTCGGCAGGTCCAGTGGATCGCTTTCGTCACTTGGTGTCGTTATTGTCGACCCGAGTGTGACGCGCCGAGCCACGCTCCTCACGTGTGGACGCGTTGACGCTCCGACACGTTGACGCACACTCTCAATTGCGCTTGCGCCTGCTTCTTTCTGCTCCTCGCTGGAGAGCCGATTTACATTCAGCCGCGTTTCCGGGAGTCATTACACGTTACACCGGTCGCCCGCGTGCGTCACAGCCCTTTGGGTGCGGTTTGCCTAGGTCGGGCGGGCGGGGCGGGGCGGGGGGCGGGGCGGGGCGGGGCGGGGCGGGGCGGGGCGGGGCGGCGCCGCAGGGCACACCTTGGGCTGGTTGCGAAGAGCCGCGCCATGCCATCCCGACGACGCTGTGGTTGCGCCGTTGATGCGAGCTACGCCGCCGCGCCGCCGCTGCGCCGCCGCGCAGCTATGCTGGTTTGCTGGTTACGAAGGACGTGTCCCACATACAAAAGAAAAGCAAACGGGACTTGTTTCGATGGACCCCTGGCACCGCCAGCGACCGCCAGGCACGCTGACTGACACCAAGCTGACACCGTTCAAAACGATGGCACGAGGCGGGGCGGGCTGCGCTGCTGCTCCGCTGCTCCGCTGGACGAGTTCAAGAACGGTTAGATAAGTGAGTGAGGTCACAGCGGCGCGCTAACAGGTGGGAGTGCCGGACCCGTCAAATGCGTTTCGCGGAACTTTTCCACGACTCCAAGGGAAGCCGCTCGGTGTTCGCCGTTGTCACTCAGCGGCCTCATGTCATCGATAAAAATGCACGGCCCACCGCCCAGTGGACCAGGAAGACGGCACGGCACGACGTCACCACTCCTCGATCGGCCTCAAAGTCTCGCCGCGTTTGTTTCTGTTTTTTGTTTGTTTTGTTTGCGTTCTCGCGCTCGCCGTGTGTACACAAAGGTGTTGATGCCCGCGCCCTCGCTCCCCTCCGCCGTTCAAGTCACCGGCGGGCCCACAGTGTCCTGGCGCGCGTCCTGGCTGGCGTCCTGGCGCTCTCCAGGCACAGCAGGCAGCCCAGCAGCGCGGCAGTCTCCCAGGATCAGACACAAACAGTGTTTTAAATTATCCACGGACAGGTAGTGGTACACCGATGAAGAGGCCGGGGGGTCATAGGTTCGTCGAGTGCGAGTGCCAGGCGCCCGGAGTCGAGATATCGCTTTCGATTTTTTTCTTTTCCCGTCGCCGCTTGAGGAACTGGCGGCGAGGCGGCCGGGCCCGCCCCCACCGCAGAACAACAATGAGGACGCCGAAGCACCGCGAAGGGAAGTGGCTGACGCGGGGCTTGTTGTCGCTGCGGCTTCGATGCGCGTTTCCGCAGCCGTGGTCGGCGTCGCGTTGGTGCCGGCCTGCAGCAGGGCCTGCAGCAGGGCCTGCAGGGCCTGCAGGACCTCCCCCACCACGTCCTTGGCGCGGCCTTGCCCCGCCTTGCTCTGCCTTGCTCCCGGCTGGCGGCCTGGCGGCCAGGCGGTCGCCGAGGCCGCGCCGCCGCCGTCCCGTTGGACTGGTCCACTGACAAGAGCTTCTTCTTACCGGGCCGACGGAAGCCGAAGGCCGCGCCGAAGGCCGCGGCTCGGTTTTTCGTGGTTTTTCGTCACGCGGACAGCGCGAGCACGGCGCGTTAAAAATGCGAAACTGTCAAAGAGGGCGCGCCGGGGAAGCGGACGCGGTCAATGCCGAATGTCGTTCATCGATATTTCACCCGATATTTCTGTCAGGTCGGTCTAATGGTTTGCTCTGGAAAGAACGTGAGAGAGCTTTCGCACGCGCGCACGCACACTCGGGTGCGCCTGCAAGAGCGCAAGACGCGAAGGCGTCGCTAAAGAGGAGAATAAGAATGATCCGATTGGTTGGCGCGCGGAGAGGGAGGGGGCAAGCCACGGGGCAAGCCGTGCACATGTCAACAAAGCAGCGAAGCAGCAAAGCAGGGGCAGGCCCAGGCAGGCCTTGAACCTGTGCAAGCGGCCAGCCCAGCCAGGCGGCCCAGGCCCAGGTGGCCCAGGCGGCCCGGGCGGCCTGCCCGTCCAGATCCAGGTCCAGGACTGCCAATAAAGCGAGGCGCAGTGCACGTGTTGGTGCAACGCGGCGAAGGACGGCGGCACGGCGGCACGGCACTACACGGCACCAGGGACGCCACTGCACGCGTTTCGGGGAAAGTGAGTTCGGTTCGGCAAGGTTCCGGGCCGGTGGTCGGCCCGTCGGCCCGTCGGCCCGTCGGCAAGCGGGGACACGCGAAAGGGCGTTTAAAACGGCCGGCCCTGAGCAGTGACCATTAGCCGGCCATTTGCACCGGTAAGTGCCCGTCCCGTCCCGTCCCGGCCGCGGGGGCCGGCCGCGGGGGCCCGGCGCCCCAACCTCCGTCCAAGTCGAACGCTCTGGAGGTCCATCGTCAGACTCGACGCCGCGGAGGCGTTGGCGTTCTGGCGGCGCGGCGCGGCGAGGGGCGGGACGCAGGCGCTGCCGGAAGGTGGAAACCTTTTTGTTTTCTTTCCCGAGAAGAGTGCGGTGGATTGTCTCTAGCTCCGGGTGCGCGCGCAACGCGCATGCGCCAGGAAGCCACCTGCCGCAGCGGCGCGCAGCGGGTCCTGGCCCTCCGCCAAGAGGACGTTTATTGCGCGCGCGCCGATACCTGATGCATTGTTGTCATTTTGTAGTCCGTCCACGCGGGGCAACGGCCACGCCGTGCACGCCGTGCACGCCGTCCACGCGGCCTGGCCGGCGATCCGTCACCCCATCCGGATATCAAGGTGGCCTGCCCGCCGCCCGCTCCTTGTTTGAAGCCAATCCGTCCGGAACTGAAGGGGTCCAGTCATCGCTCGCGGCACGGCTCTTATAAAGTCCAGCAAATAAAAGACGCGATAGGGGAAGCCGCCCGCCGCCGTGGTGCCGGCGCCCCCCGCGACCTCCACGCCGGCGGTCGGAGTACGTCCTGGGGCGCGAACCTCGGCCCGCCGCCCTCCGCGTGTCCCTCCACCGCCGGGACAGTGTTTCAAAGTGAGTGCAAAGTGAGTTCGCCAACGGGAACCTTGGGGGAACCGGATCCCAATCCTCCACAATGCTGCAGTGCTGCACGTATGGCGTGGCCGGCCGGGCCGGGCAGAGCGCGGTGCGCGGGTGGGTGGCGCGGCTAGCGCAGAGCGCCCGGCAGGTAGGCAACGGCCAGCCTTCGGCGCGGCCGTGCGCGGCGGGCCTGCCTACCTCCAAGGCTGTCGCTCCGGGCTGGTCCGGGACCCCTCCTAGTGCTGCGCGACGGGCAATAGGCAATCGAGCGCCCATCGGCACCTAACGGTCGCCCGGCGTGCCTGGCCGGGCGTCGGGACGGCCGGGCATATCATCATTGCGTCACGGCTGCCCCGCCCCGGCCGCCCCGCTGGCCGGGCAACTGGCCGAGTTCAAGGCCGCGGTGCGTCCCGCGTCCCACGTCCCGCGTCCCGCCGCGGCCCGGCGTGGCGTCCCGGAGCAGAGCGGAGCAGAGCGGTCCAGACGCGTCACGGCGTCCGGCGCGACGTGCCCGCCGTGGCGTTCCTCGTTCCTGGCCGGGGCGGGGCGGGGGCGGGGCGGGGCGGGGCGGGGCGGGGCGGGGCGGGGCTGGGCCGGCACGACGCCGTGGTCAGGTGGGTCTGGTCGTCCACCCGATCCGGGTTCAAGTGCCCCCCGCACTGCCTGCTCCCGACGAGGCTAGGTGACTCCTCTCGCAAGGGCAGATTTTCTTACAACATCTCCGCCTGCCCAGACGAAAACGGTCTCGCAGCCCAACCTGTCCGTCGTCGCCGGACCGGAAGGATTTCCTCCTCTCCACTCGCTCACGTGCACTCACTCATGTTCATTGCCGCTGGGTTTATTCCCACAGAGCGCCGCCGGATCGGAACGTGACCCGAGGCGGACAACGTGAGCATTCCCCGCACGAGGGAGCGGCGTAGCGGCGCAGCGACGCCTAACAACTTTGTTGTTTTTTGTGTGTTTTCATCTCCTTTCTGGGCCGGACTGTGTCAGTGTCAGGGCGCCTCAGCCTCAACCGCAGCCGACCTGGCCAGCGGGTGCCAGAGTGAAGCAACGGGGACACCCGGACCGCCCCGGACCGCCCCGGACCGCGGCGCCCAAGGAGACTCAGGGTGCGCTATTGGGGCACAACCTGATCGAGTGCCTCTCTTGGGCCGTCGCGGCCGGGGCTACGACTGCAAGTCAAGCAGAACAGTCCGGTTGAACCTAAAAGCGTGTGTGTGTGTATGTGTGAGTGTGTCTGAGCGCGCGCGTCTCGCCTTGGGCCGCGGGTTATACGAGTCAGGGAATCGCCACTCTAAATCAATCAGCAAACACTGGAAGACTGACTGGTCTGGGCATTTTCAAGTTGACGGCTGGGAAGGCTGGGAAGGCGCGCGGCAGGCCGCTCTAACTAGCCCGTAAAAGCCGGCAAGGACGCGCTGCAGGCGGGGCGGGCGGGGCGGGCCAAGCAGGCCAAGCAGTGCCCCTCGCCGGTCGCGCAGCGCCGCGCAGCGCTGCAGCCCAGTCGGCCCAAGTGTCAGGGGAGTCTGGGGAAGTCCCAGAGTGACTCACCTCTGAACGGTGGCAGGTTCCGGCGGAGGTTCTCGGAGCGCTGCGGGGTGTTTCGGCTGCGGCCCGCGTGCCGCGCGTCCCGGTGGGGGTGGTAGCGGTAGTCCTGGACGCAGTCCTGCCATTGTCGGTCGAACCGGTCCCAGTCCAAGCACCCCACGGTCACGCTCTCGGCGCTGCCGCCGCCGATGTTCTGCAGGACCATCTTGGAGGGGTGCAGGATCACTGCCGTCGCATAGCCTGCGGGACAAGTCAATTCATTACACTCATGCCCGACTGCGGTCAGATAATTGTTGTTGTTGTTGGTGTTGTTGTTGGTTGCGTTTTATGCGCTCCCGGCGGTGAGGTGCTCTCCAGCCCCGGGCAGTAAAAAGGTCCTTTACGCGCGCGTCCTTCGCTTAGTGACCTGGTTCCAGCCGGCGTCCCAAAGCACACACATTCACCAATAAGAAGACAAAGTCGCCAAGTAAATGGCGAAGCGCCGATCGCCGATCGATAGATTCCTTTTCGTTCTGGCCGGGCGCAAAAAACTACGCACAAAGTTGTCCTGTTGCTCCATCTGGCGTGCAGGCCGTGCAGCCTCTGCCATGCCTCTGCCATGCCGGCAGCGCGCACGTGGCGGTGCCGATGGCCGCCGGGCCGCCGGGCCGCGGGCCGGCTAGTCGCTAGGTCCACCTGGGTCCACCTACCCGCCGCCGAGGCTTGGAGGCTTGGATTGCCACTGAACCATTCGCCGCGCGGGCCCGGGGCCCCAGGACTTCGTCGGTATGGCTCCAGAGGGTCCCCGCCCCGCCATGGAGTGGGGACGACAGGCCCTCTGGACTTTGGGGTCCCGAGACCCCCGCCCGCTCAAGTCAAGTGTAGGCCTTTGGCCATCATTTTACAGCCTGCCACCCGATTCCCGAAATTCGAAATCCCGATTCCCTGACTCCGACAGGGCCATCAACAGGCGTGTTCACGGTGGGACGTCACCGATGACGTCATACCCACCACGACGGTCACGCGAGAGGAACCCGAAAAATTACAATCAACACGTGAGCCGTGGGTCCACGTTGAGACGATACGGCGAGATACGCTCAACATACCCGTTTAGACTCCAAATGGCAAAGGTACAAAGTCCAATGGTCGGTTTAAAGCAAGCTTTTCGCCACGCCTCCAAAAAAAAAACGTGTGCCAAAAACTACCACCGGACTAGCGCCTCCATTTCGAGTCTTAACCTATAACACGGGAATACTTCTTTTGTTCGTCTCGATGAGACGAATCCAGTTCAGTCGAGTTCAGTCCTCAGTTGTTTTTCGTTTCCGCCTCTTTGAGTTTTCATCCCCACAATCACGCAAGGCACGAGGGTCACATTTAAAAGATGCGGAAAGTGTCAGTAATTAAGAAAATGTTAAAAAGTAATTTTCTCCAATTTAGTGAATTAGACGCTTTTCTCAGACGATCACAGATTTGAAAGTGATGAAAACGTTATCCACTATTTTGTCACAAAGTGACAACGAATTTTCACGGTCAGGGTGTTCTTGGTAGCTGATACAAAGACGTAAGCCTTACTTCGCACCACGAATTCTTATTTTTGGAAGCATTCAAGGTGAACGAAATGTTTTACTTTGCATACGAAAACGAATCAAAAACGATGACGTCGGTTTGACAAAAAAGCAATTGAGGGCGGAGCGCTGGTAGTCCTGCTGACGTAGGTATTAATGCGCGTGTTGCCGGGCGCGGCCTCGCGACAGCCCGCCGACCCAGCTTAATTAATCTTACAATGTAGTGCCCCACTGTACAGGCCTACACTGACTGTACACTCTCTGCCCCAGACAATAGGCGGGGACAAATCGACTTCAGGAACTAACAAAAACAAAGAGGCGCAATGAATGGCGCTAGGCCGCCGACACCGCGCGGGCCACCACCCACCCCAGCGGGAGCAGCGGGACGCGACGGACCCCGCGGGACGGACCCTGCGGCGAGCTCTTCAGGGAGGTCCCGGCGGTGTCGTTGGTGTCGCCACAGCGCGCTGCCTCGCTGCCTCGCTGCCTCGCTGCGTGCTTCGGCCGGGCCGGGAGGGCCGGCTCGTTTGCTGGTAAGGGCCCGTCGTCCTGGGTCCAGAGGCAGTCCAAAAGTGGCCCAAAAGTGGCCGAATCGCGGCCTCAGCGAGAACCGAAAATGGTCCAAAGTCGGCCCAAAGGGGCCCTGCGGCGGGCTGGAGGCAGCCCCACGGAACACTGAGGTTGCACTTGAATTACCGTCGGCAGGTTGAGGCTGCTTCGCCGCAATGGCGGTTTATCTGGGGCAGCGAGGACGCCGACAGGCCGACTGGCCGACAGCGAGCTGCAGCAAGCCGGGCGCTCGGAATCACGTCACAAACACGTTCACCACTTTTGCACTTCACAGGAATCGATGACAGCCGCGGCACTTGGCCGTGTGGGCACGACTAGCACGACTAGCACGGCCGGCCGGCACGGGGTCCACGGGGTCCACGGGGTCCGCGGGGGGCAGTTCAGGTGGGGTTCGGCGCGAAGTCGCGGAGTCACTGCGCGCGGACACTCTTCTCGGGGATTGCTGGACAACTGAACCGGCCGATTGTGGCAGGATCATTTTTATCAACTGCTCTGCGTTGAGCCGCCACCCTCTGCAAACACACGCCCGCGCGCGCGCACACACGCACACGCGGCCGCGCCGCACAGGTGGTGGTGGAAGTAGTGGTAGTAGGGGATGTAGTGGTGGTAGGGGAAGTACGGAAGGAGAAGAAGAAAGGCGGGAGACAGGCGGGCGGACGGCGCGGGACGCGGGACGGGCCGCAAGCAGAGAGCAGAGGGCGACCTTGACGGCCTGGAGGTAGAGGTAGAGGTCGCTGCGTGGCGGCCTGGCGGTGCCGGCGCAGCGGCGCAGCGCGGCGCGGCCTGTCCTGCAGCACACGGCACGGCCGGCGGTGCGGCCGGCGGTGCGGCCAGCGGCACGGCCTGCACGGCCGGCACGGGGCGGGTCCAGCGCGGCGCGCCGGCAGCGAGCGACGGGGAGGGCGCGAAGGCGGGGCGTGGGGAAGGGCGCGGGGGAGGGCGCGGCAGGGCGCGGGATAGGACGGTGCACCCGCACTGGCCGCGCGTACTCAGATGCAGGTCAACAACAGGAGGCGCGTGGAGGGGACGGAGGAGGGGGATCAGGCAAAGCCCTAACTCATTTTTTTCTGCAGTAGTTTGCACTGAAAACGAAGAAAACACATGAGTTCCAAATCGTCTTGGCAGACACCACATAAAATGCACTGTATCTGCTTTCTCGTTCTGATCTGTTCTAACAAGCTTTACTCAGCTTGTTTTTCTAACTCGTTCTAAGCTGTCATTATTTTTGCTGACGCTCCGTGCTAATGTGGGAATGCGCTGCAGTGTCACGGGCAAATTGACCGTCGAAATCGGGATGGTTGCAAGAAGGTGGCGCGACGCTCGGCGACTTTGTAGCCGGCGCCGACTGTACGTGCTCACGACGAGCACGGCGGGGATGGCGGCGGCGCTGATGATTGGCTGCTCTCCGCGGCGCGCGCTGTCTGCCCTGCCGGCCCTGCCTGCCCTGCCTGCTCTGCCACGCGCGCGCCCACTTTTTAGCACACTGTTCTCGCGGTAGTGGTGTTCACGGTACCGTCGGTAATCTGAATAATTCGCTGGAAAAAGAAGCGACAACTGCGATTTCAGTCGTCGAGCACCCTGCGGCTCGGGGCCAGGTGGGGCCAGAGGTTCAGTCGGCCTACGTCCACGCGTGTCTGCGTGATCGCAATCGCGGTGCTCCGACGTGTGCGTCGTTCGCGTGGACTCCGCCGCAGCATCGCCGGTGCCTTGAGGTTCGATCGTGCAGCCGCGCGTTGCTCGGCTTCGACTCCGGGTCGGTCCTGCTGCTCCGCTGCCCCGTCGGACACGGTGCTGGTTGTTAATGCAGCCATTTCCTCCTTTTTTTGCGTGGCTGCATTGTGTGTTCGGGGCAGCCGGGGGCAGCCGGGGGCAGCGCAGGCAGTACGGCGTGTCCGGGTGATGCACGGTGCGCCCCGTCCCTGTCCCTGACCCACGGCCACCACACCGGCTGCCTGGCCGTCCTGGCCGCGCCGGCATTTCCTCCCGACCCTTGCCGTCGTCCTCCCGCCCCCGCCCCGCCCCGCCCGCCGTGTGCAGTCCGTTTTCAGCCGGTCCGGCGCGGCTGGTCGCGGCCGCTGGCCGCTGCCTCCGCCACGGCCTGCGCCAGGGCCTGCGCGATGTGAACGCAGATTGGAGGCGTTGGCCGGGTCGCCGCGCCGCGAACCGCGACGCTCAACAACACTGGGGGCGCGTGGCCAGCCGCCCGATCGCCCGTCGCCCCGTCGCCCGTCGGCCCGGCCGAGCCGACGAGATGCTTTCGGACCGTCCGGCCAGACGGCCTTGATGACGGAGCTGATAGCCCTTGGTGCCGCGCTGCCAGTGCTGCCAGCGCGACCAACCCAGCGCCCCTCGCGGCCTCCGTGAAGGCCCCCAGGCCCGTGCCCCCAGGCCCCTGCCCCCAGGCCCCTGCCCCCAGGCCCCTGCCCCGGCGCCGGGTCGTTGTGCGCCATTGTCTAGGACAGCCATAGCGCTCCTTGCAAACACCGCGCACGCGACACAGGCCGCGCCGCGCTGAGCGGTGCCGTGCGCAGCACACTCATTCTGAGAATCATTTCGTCTCCATCTCCGTCGCACTCGTGGGGCGCCCCGCAGTCCGCGGGGGAGCGAGAGAGACAGGACGACGAAACGAATCTTCGGAGTCGCCCTGCAGTCACGTCGGCCACGTCTAACCTTTCGTCTACTCGGACGCGGAAACTCTCTACACGCCGCCGGGCCGCGGCTGTCCTGGCGGTCGCGCTGGAGGGGGCCACGGGTTCACACGCGGTCTTCGGGGAATTTCGGCGTTTCGGCGCTTGGCGCCAAACTGGAGGAGGGTGGTGATTATCGGGGAGACGGTGTCGGTGTCGTCGTGGCCGTCGTGCAGGTGCCGCCCCCGCGCCAACGCGCGCCGCCCGATCACGGCGCGGCGCCAGTAATGAGGACGGCGAAGGGAATGGAGCGACTCGCGAGAACCTTCTTATCGTCTGCATGACGTCCACGGCGACGCGGCGAAGCGGCCGCCGTTTCTGCGCGGAAGGGACCCGCCGAGCACCGTCTGTCAATCATTGACACACTTTCACGACGGCGGGGTGACGAGGCAGGGCCAAAGAAATGTCAAAAAATATCGCGTGGTGCGGACGGTCGAAACTCCAAGTCGACGACACACACCACGTCATGCACATATTATTCGACTTTTGTTTTGAAATAAACGAGTTTCGTGTGAACATCGTTGTAAAATCAGTTTTGGCTGTGTGAGCGGCTGGCTTCTTACTCCCTCGCCGCCACCGCCGTGGTTGCGACGAAGACACCCATCGTCCACAGTGTCCACACACAGGGGAAAGCCCGGCCGCATTCCGACACTCTCAAAAGTGCACGCGGGCCAGGCCGCCAAGCCGCCAGGCCGCGCGAGGTAGGTAACACGCAGAGGGCCTGTCGCCCCGTCCGATTGTCTTTATTTTTTCTTTGCCATTGGATCGTCCGAGCCGGAAGGGGGCCAATGTGAAGCGCCTTATCTACCGACCTTTTTCTCTCTTTTTAATTAATTCGGTTCGCCCCGAAAAGGAAAGGGGGCGACGGCGACGCGATAGCGACAAAGTGCGCGTGGTCCGGACCATCGCATGCCCGGCGAGGCATGGCCACCGAGTCGGCCTGCCATTGCACCGCGGTTCCAGGGGTTCCAGCCGACTGCCGACTGTCTGGACAGCGCGACGGGCGTGAACCTCGACAGCCCCTCGCCTCGCCTACCCTCACCAGCCCGGCCCAAGGCCCGAGTGAGCGGACGCCTTCGAGGGAGCGCCGGAGAGCCGCGGCGGGCCGCGGTCTCCGAACACGGTGCCGAGCGCCCGCCGGCGATGCACCAGTGGCGGTGCAGTGCGCCCCCGATGGGTCGACAGGTCGATGGGTCGATAGTTTCGATAGGTCGGTAGGTCGACGGGTCGATTGGTCAGAGGGGTGGATGGGTCGGTGTCGGTGTCGATGTCCGTGCCGTGGCCGTCCTGGCCGCCCGGGCGGCACGCGGAGCCGCGTTTCCTGTTCGGCGTCCCGGCGCGCATGCCAAACTTGTCCTGCATTTTTTTTTCTCTCCCTGCTTTTCGCTTACGACCCGCAGCGACCTCTCCAGGTTCATTGCCGCGCACGGCGCGCACTGCCATTGCGCTTCGTCGCCAACGTGTTGTTGTTGGGCTGCAAGTTTTTTGCCTTTGCCTTTCAGCGCGCCGCATCGGCGCTACTTACTTGCGGCGGCCGGCCCGTCCCTGCGAGGCGCTGCGAGGCGCTGCGAGGCCTTGGGGTGTCCGACGGACTGCCCGGGTGACAAACGCGCCGGGCAATGAACGGCGGAGCGCGGAGCGGGCCGCGGAGATGCGGCGCCGCGGCCTTTCTCCGGGCCTGCTTGGGCAGCGCGCGGCGCGGCGCGGCGGCACCACGGTGGCACGGGGCGCGCGTCCGGGCAGGGCGCCAGCATCGCCATCACCGCCGTTTTAATCAACCACTTCCAGATCAATGGAATTTTTTTCAATCTTTTTTTCCTCCTCACAAGGAAGTAGCAGCTGTGACTGTAGCCGAGCGCTCTCCGCGCCGATTCCGAGCGTGGCAATTACTCGAGTCGGCAAATTTGACAGAGCGCTTGTCAACACGTGTCTCGGCTTGCGTGCCAGTGTGCGTGGCACTGCGAGCGTGTGTGTTTTGAGCACGAACTCACCGGCTAGTTGACTGGGACCACGCGCCACGCCGGAAGTACTCCTTCTCCGCCTGCTGAACGGCTGTCCCGGTCAAGAGCAAGTTCACCTCATCCTCCTCCTGTGCACAAAAAAATGTGAAAAATACCTCTGTTTATTCAAAAGAAAAATAAAGCAATGTTTGTTTTTCGGCATTGGATCGTCTTGGTTTTTCCTGATGCGATTCGAACGCGCAGTCATGATTTCCCGTAGAAAGGCTTTAGCGCGCACACATGCATACTCACGCGAGGCGATGCGGGTAAAAGCGCAGTCGGGTGTCGGGTCGGCCACACTGTGAGTGAAACTAACCCGGGGCAGGGCGGCAGGGCGGCGGCGGGGCGCGCAGCGCGCACGCTTTGACAGGTGGACCAGACAGACTGCACTAGCGGAGGGCACAGCAGCGCGGCGCGGCGCGGCGGAGCTTGGAGGTGGCGCTTTGAGGTATGTCGCGCTCAGGATGACGATGACATGACGATTGTTGTTGCGTTCACCTGCTGCTGGAGTGGGAGGACAGGTGTCGCGAGTTGCTTCAGTGGCGTTCCGCGCGTGCGGTCGCTGCGACGCGGGGTGGGGCGGGGCGGCGGCGGGGCGGAGGCCTTTCGGGCGGCGGCGGCAACGCCGAGGGACTTCCCTGCGGCTCGTCGGCGAGGGTTGCCGTCGGCCCGGAAGTGCCCCCCTGCGGTGCCTGCGTGCGTGCTGCACCACTAGGCCTACTAGGCCCTCCAGGGCGTCCCGGCCGCCAAGGCCCCGGCTAGACGTGTTTTACCGCTCCAATGACCCGCCGCGGGGTGGACGTCGACCAGGACCTGGCCGCCAGGCGGACGCCGGGACGACGGGACGGTTCCTCTGGCTAGGCCGGGCCAAGCCTCGGGCAGCCTCGGGCCTTCCCATGGCGGTGGCGCCGGCCGGTCGGGTCAGCAAAACGCGCCAAAACGACCACCGCGGCGGCGCACCGCCCCTGCGGCCTTCAGGGCCACGGACTTGCCCGCGTCGCCCCGCGTGCAGGTCTCCGGGAAGGCGCAGGCGTCCTGGCTGAGGTCCTGGAGGTCCTGGAGGCGGCCGGCCGGCTGATCGAAGTACGGACTGACAATCCACCCGCCGCGCCCGCGGAGGGGGGAAAAGCGGAGGGGGGCGGGGGGCGGCCCGCTCGGAACACGTCGTGGAATCCACCGCGGAAGTTAATGCACCACCACGCCGCCGTGCCGCGCCTCGGCCACGCCATGCCGCGCCGCGAAACTATTTCTCATGCAAATTTTCAGCGCGCAAATCCAACGGCCGCTCATCGCTGCTCCGTCTCCCTCGCTCACCGCGCGCACGCCGAGCGTCAAGCGCCAAGCGTCAAGCGTCAAGCGCCAAGCAGCGCGGCGGCGGACGCGGCGGACGCGGCGCTCGAGGTAGACCTGCCGTCAACTGTCACTCAACCGGACGGTGCAAGGAAACAACATGGAACGGAAATTTCAGCTCAAATCTGTAGGATACGGCGGGTCGGCCGGGTCCGTGGGCTGCCGTGGGCTGCCGTGGGCCTGGCCGGCCTGCCCGATGGGCTGGCGGCGCGTGCCGCCGGGGAAGGGGGAGGGCCGAACGCGGCCTTGACACGGCCTTGAGCCAGGCGCAGCCCGCGCAGCGAGACGCAGCGAGACGCAGCCCAAAATTTGTTGTTGTTTTGGCGGGAAGGAGAGTGCGTAGCGGCGCGCCGAACGAGACTCCTTACGACGAATCCGTTCGTACTCCTCTCGGCGTTTGCTTCTTGTCGAACGTCGTGTGCCGTGCGGCCGCGAATCAATGGCCATCCCGACTATCTTAATCGGGTCGTTATACTGAGTGGGTATTAAAAATTAAGACAACGAGGGTCGAGGCGCACGCAGACAAAAAGAGTGAGACTGTTCGAGTACCCAGCAGACGGCCCGGCGGTCTGGCCTGGCGGCCTGCCCTTGAACCTGGAGTGACTCATGGCGACCCGGCGGACGCGGCCGGAAAAGCGGAGCCGCCTCGAACAGCACTCGCGACCAAACCTTCTAATTTAGGGCTAGGGCGAGGCGTCGCGTTGTTCGCCAAGTGTCGAGCGATCTGGGAAGGACTCTGTTTCCCGGCAACAAGGCGCCGCCGGTCATCTCCGCGCGGTTAAGTTGTTTTATGTCCGGCACTTTCCTTGCGAATCGGATCGCAGTGATGGAACCGGTTTCGCTGCCGTTTCTTCTATTTGACCGAGGCGTGGATTTGTCGAGACGAGCCCGACGAGCCGAGCCACGAGGAAGTCAAAGTTCGGGCCTCGGTCTTCGGTCCTCGGTCCTCGTCCAGCGGTTCATACTACGGTCCGGCGGTGCGTTTGATTGATTCTTGTTCGCTCCGCACTTCCCGGAGCACTGGCCGCGCGAAAAAAGACCAAAGGGCACTACCGGCACTACCGGAGCGGCAGTGCTGCACGTCGTCTCGGGGCAGCGACACTTCGCTCTGTGGCTAAGCGTTCAAATCCCTCACTTACGTCGATTCGTTTTTTTTCTCGGTGCACAACCCTCTAAAAAAATGATAGGGTCCTAGTTTTTTACCCTAATATGCCCAGTTTAACAGTTGAACTTTTACTTTATCGCCGTAATTATAGTTACTGCATGGTAAATGTTTAGCTGAGGTGCTAAATTTTCTTTTCTAATTTCCATTCAAGACGTCCCTTTAAAAAAAATGCCGTAAAAATGTGAGTACGGGCCATGTTTAAAACCAGGTCATGTTGGGACATGATTTGTTTGCGTGTGTGTCTTTTTTTTTGTGCTGTGTTTGTTTTGGCAAATATATCGCGGAGAAATTAACGAGAGTGACACTGATGTGCACAGTAGCGGCACCCGAACAACGGCGGGGCGCTGGCTGGCGCTCGCGACACGCTGAGTCACTTCTGATAATCTCTCTTTGATTGTCAGGAGCTCATCGACTTTGTATGACCCGGGTCATCCGCCACCGTTCGTGGTGCGCACTTTGTCTGAGGAGGTGCGCACTGTTTCGCCGAGTGTGCTTGAACCAGGGGGCGTGGGGCCGCGGGGTGGCCATCCATCATGGCTCAGCAGGGGAAGTCAAATTGGCGCACCTCGCCGTCAACGGAACTTTCCTCCGCCTGCCGCCCCTGCCGCCCTTCCAGAAAAAAAGGCGACAGGCCTGGCCAGTGCTGCAGCCTGCAGGAGGTCAGCGGCAGACGCTCGATAACTAGCTAGAGAAGTGGCGGTGGCGGCGGTGGCGGTGGCGGCGGCGGTGGCGGTGGCAGCAAGGCGGTGGTGGCATTGCTCCGGAAATCCAATGACGCCCCAAGGCACGCTGCGGCTGATACGTTATCGTCGATGGAAAGCGGGACGGCCGGCACCCATTTATATGTGTTTCCATCGAGCAAAAGACAAAAAGAAAGAGGCAAAGTTGGAGAATACGATTTGATGTATTTACTGCACACGTTTACAGCAGTTAACAGATTATGACAAATATGGAATGTACGAATGCTTTATCGGCTTATGGTAAATAATGTTGTTGCCAACGCAGTGAATGAGAATAATAAAATGAGAGTAATGAGGAACGTTGGCTGTGTCCGTGCGATGCAAGAGAAGTGAATCAATATACAATAAAATGAAACATGTTCGAGAATGGCCCTCGTCACCCTGAATACAAGTGATAAGAAGGAGAGCAATTTCGTCCATAAATAAGCACGCGAGTCAAATTAAAATTGCCAAAAAAGCGACAAATTCGAGACAGTGTTTATCATACGTACTTGACAAAAATTTGTCGCTATTTCGGGGGACAAACTCTTTTCACAGGCAAAAATGAGACCCCAGTTGGATACAACTCTTCAAGAATTACAAATTAATGATACTATAATTAATTTGGTTTTCACCTATAAAATAAGAAGCGGTTTATCCACTCCGTCCGTATGCATACAAAAACTGACTGTTTTTTAATCACACACACATATACGTACACTCTAAAATCAACACACAGGCACACATAATCACACACACACACACGCTCTCACACGAACACGAACTTCACCCTGTTCTTAGCACTCCTAGGGAGAGAGCGCGTCGCCTCCGCGTCACGACGACGGAGTCCTTATCACAAGTCGTTAACCAATGGCTAACGGAAATCACCGGAGTAATCGAAACAAAAACAAAAACTGCGCGTCGTCGGGGCTCCGCGGCCGGCACGCGCCCCGCGATGCACGTCCTTTGTCCTTGTTGACGGCGGCGACGCGGCTCAGGCGCAGGCGGCCAGCTCCTGCTCGCCGTCCTCCGGGCGCTCGTCGGCGTGCTCCACGGCGTTCTCCGCGGACGTGGGCGCCGCGGCGTACGGGCTGCGCCGCGCCAGCAGCAGCAGCCTGCGCGCCAGCACGAGGGCCGTCAGCACGGCGGCCACGGGCAGCACGTACAGCAGCACGAACTCCAGGAAGTCCAGCGCGTAGCTCGCGATGATGATGATGGTCTTGAAGCCGGCGTCGTACGACGGCAGGTCCTGCGGCAACACGCACGGTCAGTGTCGTTCCCCGTCAGGTTATGTCTCGTTTTGTCTGCTCCGATTGGAGGGCCGACGGGGTGCATGCTCTTACCTGCGCGAACCACGCCACTGGCAGCACCATGCCCACGTCCAGGTGCGGCGTCTCCTTGACGACGCGCAGGTTGAACTGCAGCCGGGACCTGCCCGACAGGGTCATGCCCAGGCGCTGCAACATTCGCAAAGTCAGTCAGAGGCTGGAGAGGCTCACTAGCGGCGGCGCCCTCAGGCCCGCAGTGTCTGTTGGGTTGCCTACGCTCCGGGCGTCGCTGGAAAGGGAGCCAGAGGGATTGCCTACGCTCCGGGCGTGACCGGAAAGGGAGCCAGAGGGATTGCCTACGCTCCGGGCGTGACTACCTACCGGAGCCGCGAGGCCTGGTCGCCTCTCTCTTCAGCGGCCGCCGACGGCGGCAGACTTACCGGGTGGATGTCTGCGAACATGTCATGCTCCTTGGCGTCCGGGTGCATCCCTTCAAACGGCTCGAGAGCAGCGGGGTCCGTCAGGTAGAAGTGAGGGTACGAGATGTACATGGGTGCGCCTGTGTGCGGGTCGAAATGAACAGGTCAATCGTGGCGCTCAGCAGTTCTGATGTTTCTTTTGCGAAGAAGTGAGGTCATTAGTTGAGAAACGTACCGTGTGCGCAGGGGCTGGTGTCGAAGATGCCATCCAGGGGGCACTCTTGGAGGTCGGTTTGGTTGCAGAAGCACAAGTTGTCGGGGTTGACGCGCGGCGACATGAAGGTGTTCTGGTCCAAGATGTAGCGATGAGCGCGCACCCCCTGGGCCTGGAGCAGCAAGTTAGACAGATGGTCGGCACACTGTGCTGGCACGGCGCGGGAAGGCGCATGGTGGCGCGGGAAAGACTCCAACTTACGAAGGACTTGCGCTGGAAGATGAACTTGATGAGGCGGCAGGCCTCCGGCTTGTAGGCGTACAGGGTGTCCTTGGCGCGCACCTTCCTGGGCGGGAACATGGAGCCGTCCGAGCCCTCGAACGAGTTGCAGGCCGGCTCGGACCACGCGCCCAGCGAGGACTTGTGGTTGAAGCGCACGAAGTAGGACAGCTTGTCGATGTCCGCCGCCCCCGTCAGGATCGTCAAGTCGTCCGGGATCGTTTTCTGGGCACATCAAGGAGAGCGTGTGAGGGACACAGCTTTTTGCGACCGAGTTTGGCGGCGTTGGTACCGATGAACTCACCATGGTCAGCAAGCCGACCTGGTCCATGGGGACCTTGTTGGTGGGGTCGAGCTTGGACAGGGTGAAGAGGTTGTCGTCGTAGCCCCAGATGAAGCCGTTGGCCGTCACGGAGATGAGGGGGTTGAGCTTGAAGGCTCTAGACGACAGGTTGAGGATGACAGAGCCCGCGGTGCCGAACAGGCCCTGCCCCCAGCCCGCCACCTTGGCCTTGGCGCCCTGCAACAGCCGGACACGGCGCGTCACTCTCCAGCCGTAAAAGGGAAGAAGCCCTCTAGGCGACGGCATCCGACAGCCGAGTCGAACCGCCCCGCCGAGGAGACGCGCGGTCTTCGCGACCTTGAACCCGACTCGTGCTCGTTCAAGGCTGGACTGTGACGGCATCTAATTTGCCTTCGCTTTGACCGTTCCACCAGGCAAGTGATAAGTAAAGGTTTCATAAGTGATAAGTGATAAGTTTAAAAAATTCGAAAGCCAGTAGTTGCGTACTTCCACTGCTAGAGCGCGTCACTGTTGGCCACTGGCCACATCCCAGGTCATGGAACTTTCCTTCCTGAGAAAAGATGCAGTTTCACAAAATGGTGGGGTACTTACGAAGTAAGGAATGTTCGGGACGACCACGGTGGCGTTCAGGTCCTCAGTGGCGGACATTTCGGGCATGAACTCGTAGGTCTTCACCTCCCTGTACGACAGGGTGATGCCCTTCTCGTCGAACTCGATAGCCTCTCGCCTGATCACCTCTCTGGAAAGGGGGAGGTTAGTTGGTGCTGGCCGACGGAAATGTCGATTTTGACATCGTCCCGAGTCCGAACTGTTGGAACTCACCTGTAAGTGAAGGGGCCGACCTCCTTGAGCTTGATTTTAATACTGCGGTCTCTAGTGTACTCGTCCCAGTTGGTGTAGTTCCAGATGTACACCCTGAACCAGGGGTTGATTGGTGGCGTGACCCACCAGGCAAAGCTCCCCTTGTTCGCGTCCAGCACCATTTGCTGTCAAAAAAAAAAAAAAAAATCATTTTAGCTCGTGCTGGAATGTCCAGACTGCCGGATGGCTGATTGCGACTCACATTGGCGACAAAGTCGTGGAAGGCGTCCGTGGTCCACATGATGCAGGAGCCGGAAAAGCAGAAGAGGCACGCCGCGAGTAAGAACGCGATGCCTGGAACGAGACGGGTGCACTGCATGCAGGCCTCCAGTCGTGCGCCACCGCCAGCGCCAAGACCGATGTCAAGACCGAGGTCGAGACGGAGGCCAAGACCGAGGTCAAGACCGAGGTCGAGACGGAGGCCAAGACCGAGGTCAAGACCGAGGTCAAGACAGCGAGGAAAAGACCAAGGATAAGACTGAGGCCTAGACCGAGGTCCGAGGCCAAGACCCACCTCGCCACCGTGGTGCGCCGTCCGTCTTCCTCCGCCTGGGCTGCGGCTCCAGGGAGATGAATTCCAGCTCCCCGGGCTTGGCGTTGGCCACATCCCCGAGGCTGCAGCGGCCCGTCGGGCTGGCCTCCACCGGCTCCTCGTCCCTGGAACCGAACAAGGTCTTCAGCCTGCCGTCACGCTCTCGGGGGAGGGAGCCTCCCTTCCGGAGTAACGACACGGTCGCGCGGACTCACTGCAGCCCCCACCAGGCGGGTGCTGGGCGCCGAGCTGGGCGCCGCCTCCGCCGCCCCCACCGCCCCCGCCGTCCCCGCCGCCCCCACCGCCTCCGCCGCCCCCGACGCCTTTGCTACCCCACGAGGCGAAGAGGAGGCACAGCGGCCAGGGAGGCGGCGCCCGGCCGGGCTTGTCGCCGAACATAACTCGCGGGGGGCACCGGTTGCACTGGTGCAGCGTGGCCGTGGACGTGGCCGCCCCCCGAGGCCCGACAGGCCCGATAGGCCCGATAGGCCCGACCGGTGCAGATGCACCAATTACGCGGCGTCGTGGCAAAAAGCGCGGCGACGGACGCGGCACTGCATTGCTAGGCAGTGCTAGGCAGTGCTAGGCAGAGCTAGGCAGCCCCAAGCCGACGCGACGGTCCACCGGCCCAGCGGCCAGCCAGCCAGCGTCTCGTCTAGGCTGTCTAGGCGCCGTGCCATCTCGCGTCGCAAGTCGCGTCGTCAGGAAAAACAGGTGGTTTCTTTGGATGCTCGTGCAAGCTGCAAGGCTGGCGCGGGCTGGCGCAGGTTGGCGGTGCTGGCGGCATGAGTGTGACACGTGTTTGGATCGGAAATCGCACCAGAATGTGGTTCGCGGTACGCCGCTATGTTGTTCACCAGACCGGGCGGCCGCCACGGACGGGTTTAGTGATATGAGACGGTCCATTTTTGATTATCAGCTGGGATGCTCCCGATGCTTCTCGAACGACTCGGAGGATAGCGGAATAACGAATCCGAGCGAGGCAACGCCATTGCAATTATATAGACATGTGCACTGCAAAATAGTGTCTAGTTTGCAGGCTAATGGTCTATATTCTGCTCTACTATAACGTCACCAGCGCGCGCTGATGTACGAGGAGCCCCCCGTGACGTCTGTTTACTCACTCTCTGCCGCAACACAGCCACGACCGTCGGCATTCCTGGATGTCGGTCTTCTTGAGCGTCTCCAGGAACGGCTTCCGAATCTTGCCGAAGAACCATCGCGGGCTCTGGAACGGAAACAGGGACAGTGTTGAAGGGAAGGGCGACGTCGGCGCGGCCATGGCCCCCAGCACTGGGTGCACGGGGTGCACGGGGTGGCTGGTCGCGGCTTTCGGGGTTGGCGCGGCGCGCGGAGGGCTGCTGCTACTGCGGAAGCTACTCAACAACTGCCGTCTGCTTACGCATGGAGCCCGGGCTGATTGCCAAAACTGATGAAAGAAACGGCCAAACGGCTTTTTGCCCGTAATTGCGCCTTGGCCGTCTCATCGTCTCAGCACCGCGACCAGGCAGCGGGCACCGCGAGGCTCCGCGACAACTGCATGGCGATGATGTATCACTACTTGGACGCCACAGGTCGGTGCGCCACCTCGGCGGGGGCCGCCCTAACGCCCTCGCCTGCCCTCGCGCGCACCTTTTCCTGGCGGATGAAGGACGCCTCCCTGTCCAGGGTGTTCTTCTTGCAGGCTGTCATCCTGTCGGAGGGGGAGGACAGTCCGGACCGCCTCTCGACACGCCGCGGGTCCACGATGCACTAGACTCTGCGGCGGACGTCGGTGGCCGGCGGCCCATCTCGACGCGCTAATCGGCGCGACACCGCCGCCCCGCCCCGCCCCGCCCGCCCCGCCCGCCCCGCCCCGCCCCGCCCCGCTCCGCCCCGCCCCGCCCTGCCCGCCGCCCCGGCCCGCCCCGCACCGCCCGCCCCGCCCGTCCCGCCCCTCCAGCCCAGTCTGGAGATAACCTAACCTCTAACCTAAAGGTTACGCGCCCCTTACACCGGACACTCGCCTTTCGCCTTGAGCATCTGTCGATCTCATTGCATTTCGATCGGTTTCGATCGACCGGCCGCGCGTCCCAGACCGCAGCCACTGCAGGAATTGCAGGAACTGCAGGGGTCGAAGGGACTGCACGGACTACAGCAGCTGCAGGGCCTACAGGGATGCCCCCCGCCTACACGCCCTCCTCGCCCACGACGCGGCCTGCAGACAGCAGTCCCCGCCCTTTGTTTACTTTCGTTCACAAAATAATTTCACCAGTCACCCTCACAGTGGCGGCGCGCCTCTTGCTCCTGGATTTTCGACGACGTTTGTTCTTTACTCGGTGACGAGTGAAAGGGTCTATTTTCTAGCCGTTTTCCCTGGTGCCGAACATGAACTTGACCGGGCTCGACCCGACGTCCCCTTTCAACCCGCTGGGGTTCCCCCGAGCCTCGGCCAACCCGTTTGCAGCCGTTCCCAAACAGCGACCCGGCACTGCTATGACACGTGAGTCTGGCTTTGCCTCCGATGCGTCCGTGCTTCGAGCAGCGGGCTAATAAATGAACGGTGCCGGTTCGGCGGTAGGACTAATCCGCCCAGTCGGCCTCACGTGCAGGCTCGAGCTCACGTGTCACTCCAGGACAGCTGCCGCCGCACAGTGGGCCAGAAGACCGCTGGAGGCGGACAAAACTCTGGACGCGTTTAGAGCTCCAGAGTCGCTAAATGGGACTCGAACCGAACGTGTGACCCCACCAATGGGTTGCTCTCCGAACGAGGAATCGATTGGTGGGGTCACACGTTCGGTTCGAGTCCCATTTAGCGACTCTGGAGCTCAAAACGCGTCTAGAGTTTTGGCCGCCTCCACCGGTCTTCTGGCCCACTGTGCGCCGTGGGTCGGCACCTGCCGCTATCCTGCAGCGGTGGCTGCATGGGCAGTAGGACCCTCCCCTTACCTACCCCATTTCCCAGCGAACTGGGGTCGACTGCAGCGCTCTCCCGTGGTTGACAGCGGGCCTCGCGCCGCTTCGGCATTTCCGCCAAGCCACGGCGCCGTGAATCGGCACTTTGGTCATCGCCTGATCGTCCGCGATGAATCCGGGGGGGGGGTATCGCGCCCCAGCCTCCGGCTCCTCGAAGGCGTGCAGGCGTGCACTGGCAGGCTTGCAGGGTCAGGCGTAGGCCTGTGCAGCGGCCAGGTAGGTGTCAGTTCTCGCGCGTGGGGCGTGCCTGGCGGCTGGCGGCCCTGGCGGGGCCCCGGCGGTCTCTGGGGCGCGAAGGGCGGGCCTTCCGAAAATAACGCCGCATTGTCTGGTTCGGCGTACGGACCTACATGACGACCAGCACGACCAGGTTAGGCTAGTTTGCTCTGCTTGCGTCTGGTCAGGGTCGAGCTGCCGCGAGCTGCCGTCGTCTAGGCCGAGGGAGAAACGACTGAGAAATTTTGTGTACATCGGATAGGGATAACCCCGGATAACCCGCGGATTACCTCCGGATTACATCGAAAAATTTCCTGGATTACCACTGGATTGCGCCGGATTACCCCGGATTACCTCAGAATTTCCCCGGATTACCCCGGATTACCTCAGAATTTTCCCGGATTACTTGAAAATTTCTGGTTATCCGGATAGCGGATAACCAATTTGCTGTACATCGGATAACCGAAGTCGTTTCCCCCTCGGTCTAGGGAGGTCATACGAGCACTGGCGGAAACAACTTTTAAGTTGATCAAAACGGTCACAAATGTCTTTGAAAAATCGTGTTTTGGGCCGACTTTAGGCATCCACTGCGTCTGATCCGAGGCGGTATTTCGTCCTCCCTCAACGGGCAATTGGTCTTTGGGCCTTCCTTTAGCATGCCTTTGTTACGGAGTGCGATTATTTGCCTTGGTTTGGGAGCAGTATTGCCGCAAAGTTGATCAAAACGGTCACGAATGTCTGAAAAATCGTGTATTGATCAACTTTGCGGCAATACTGCTCCCAAACTAAGGCAGATAATCGCACTCCGTAACAAACGCATGCTAAAGGAAGGTCCAAAGACCAATTGCCGGCTAATGGAGGACGAAATACCGCCTAGGATCAGACGCAGTGGATGCCTAAAGTCGGCCCAAAACACGATTTTTCAAAGACATTTGTGAACGTTTTGATCAACTTTGCGGCAATACTGCTCCCAAACTAAGGCAGATAATCGCACTCCGTAACAAAGGCATGCTAAAGGAAGGCCCAAAGACCAATTGCCCGTTGAGGGAGGACGAAATACCGCCTCGGATTAGATGCAGTGGCTGCTTAAAGTCGGCCCAAAACACGATTTTTCAAAGACATTTGTGACCGTTTTGATCATTTTTGCTGCAATACTGCTTCCAAACTAAGGTGGATTATCGCACTTTGTATCAAAGGCATGCTAAAGGAGGGGTCGCGTGGGGTCGCGAAATTTTTGCTACAAATTTGGGGTCGCGAACCGAAAAAGGTTGAGAAACGCTGGTCTAGGCTCATTCCATGGGGCTGCGAGGGCTCTCTGTCTCTCTCGCGCTCGTGGGCCGTTTCGTAAGGGTGCGGCAAAGACAGAGCGACGATGCACTGTTGCCCGGGACCAGCCTCGGCGCGCCTCAAGGCTCGGGGCGGGTTGAAGGCGGAGCAAATTGGAGGTTCAATGTCACAGCCGTGCGTCCCCCGCGTCGCGCCCTCCTTTCGCCTGCCTGGCCTGCCTGGCCTGCCTGGCCTGCCCGATAAGCAGCACCAAGACTTCCTTATTTTGAGGCGTATCAGTTATTCTTACCACATAATGAAAGTTCGGAGCCACTCCTACGTTACGCCGCGTGGTGGCCGTGCCGCCATCAAGGCCGTATGACCTTCCCCGGTGACCCTCCATCTTGCGAATGTCGTTACATCTCATGGATGGACGATAACAATAATACTTCACTCTCGAGTACCATTTTATTTGTGGAAAAAATAAGTTTTTGCCCCTCTTTTTTGTTCGATTAATTTTCTTCGTAACCAAATCCCTAGAACATTAAATAAAAAGAAAGGCGCTTCAAAAAAATGTCTTTGTTCTGGGAAGTGGTAGGTTTTGAAAGTAGGGCGTTTGCTAAACGCAAAATGATCGGAAGGAATCGTGTTTCGTTCCTCGGAACGCGCGCCCCCTCCCCTCCCGCTTGTAGGGCCGTGGGCTGCCGAATAGCGTCTTGGCTGTTCGCGACGCAATACTCGCCGGCGTGGCGCCACGCCGCGTCCTGCCGCTCGGGGCAGCGGCTCAAAATTTCGCCCTATTGACCGATTTTACTTATCGCTCGGCAGGCGCGGCGCGGCGGCCGATCCGACGACATACGGAAGGGTTCCGAGTCGCGCGGCACCCGGCCGGACACGCCGCACCAAACAAAAACAAAAACAAAACATCGCGCTTCGCTCCGAGGGTCCGGCTGAGAAAGCCAAGCCACTGGGAAGGCGTGCCCACGGAACGGGGTGGCTGCATCGCCCGCTCGGCGTTGCTTTTGGTTCGGATCAGTTACCTTTTCCTACCTACGATTGTTCTACCCCGACCCTCTCCTAAAGTATACTTCTTCTCCTACTTAATATTTTCCTACTGATCTTTTGGTTGCTTTGCCACCGGGTGGTTCATTCCGTTGCCTCTCTGTTTCTTTGCTTTCTGCGGCGGGGCGCGAGGCGAGGGCACCAAGCCCCGGGCAGCCTAGTTTCCATGCGCTGCGAGACGGTGTTGCCGTGCCGTGCTGCTGGAGACGCGCAAGATGTACAGAGAGCCAACAGCATCCGGTAAGGTGGCGGTGGCGGCCTGGCGGACCGGAAGGGGCACGCCCCGCACCGCCGCTATCTCGAAGCACGCCCCAACGCCCCAGTGCACCCGCCACCCCCCCGCTTCACCCACCGCACACCCACCAAGCCCCGCCCAGCCCGCGCCACGGGTTGCCGGCCGCCACCGCAGTCGAGAGCCACCCAGCATCCGGTAAGGTGGCGGTGGCGGCTGCACCGAAGGGCACGCCCCGCACCGCCGCTATTCGAAGCTGCCCAACGGCCCACGTGCAGCAGCCGCCAGCCTGCTTCTACAATCGTTCCACGCACCCCGTAGGTGGTCGGCACACTGCAGACAGCCAGACTGGGCAGTTTATCAATGTATTTGCAGCCTCCGAGTGTGGGCGCCCCAAATAGTGAATCGATTCTTAGGAACGTCTCGTAGGGTGTAAGAGGAGCACTGTCAGAACATTTTGGCTGTGCCGCTTTGGGACAGTGCAAATTTACACCGGTGCCAGTGGCGCCAGTCGGGGTTCTGTGTTCTCTGTGTGCAGACGCGGGTAGGGGGAGGTATGGTGGCCAGTGAGGTGCCAGACGCCAGATAATAGTTGAACATATATAGTTTAGCGCAATCGATGCGATAGTATCGACTTACTTGCTTCGGGACATACGTAGAAGAAGGCGAGTGTACTTGCTCAAGAACAAGTGGAAATACGGAAAAACCATTAATCTATGATCAATCGGTTCCTGCCGCCACAGGACTTGAGCGGTGAAATTAACGATCAAACCTACGCTATTTTGGGCTTTGCGGGACACTTTTCAAGTGGGAGTGGGACCCGTTCGACAGCACATTCGGCAGCACATTCGGCAGCGAGCGGCACTAGTGAGTGACGTCGGCGATGTCGCCGACGGAGACCCTCCGCCGGAACTTCGTGAACTTCGTCCTCCTTTCGCACCTGGATTCCATGACGTCCTCGCTGGTCCGGGGTAAACCAAGGCCCGTTCGGCAGCATTTTCGGCAGCGGCACTGGTGACGTCGCCGACGTCGGGAAGGCGATGACCCGCCGCTCCCCACTTTGTCCTCCTTTCGTCCCCGGCATCCATGACGTCCCCGCTGGTCCACGGCACCAAGCCCCGTGCGGGAGCATTTTTGGCAGCGGCACTAGTGACGTCGGCGACGTCGCCAAGGCGCCCCCCACTTCGTCCCCGGCACCCATGACGTCTGGGCACCAAGACCACGCGGCGCCCGAGGGGCAGGCCACCCATTCGACGCCAGAGCCGTGCGGGCGGCGACACTGCCAGGCGCCGGGCGGCCGCTCTAGCCGCTAGCAGTGCAGTGGGGCAGCGGGCCGCCGAGGCCAGCCGTTCCGTTTCGAGCGAAAAAGTGTCGCTGTCGAGGAAGTGTGAATCAGCAGGCCGCGCCGGAAAGGGCAGAAGGGCGAGTTGACGGCTGGGGGTGGGGAGGGAAGACGGAGAGGACACTGAAGCCAGACCGCCGCAGAGTTTTCCGCTTTCAGCACTCTCGTCGGCAAGGCGGGCCAGCACAAGTGACGCGGCAGTCGGAGCGGAGGGGTTGGCTGCCATGGACGTCTTGCAGGGCTTGGGCTGCGACGTCGGCCTCGGCGTCCTGGTGCTGGCGGCCGCCGCCCTGGCCGTCGCCTCGCTGGCCCTGTGGAGCTGGCCTCGGGGGTCCCACAACCTCCAAGGCAAAGTTGTGCTGGTGCGGGCGAGATGAAGACTCTGTGTTTTCAAGTCGAGTGTGAGTGGCGTACAGCTTACAGCTCTGTCTCTCTGCCCTGCAGCTGACGGGCGCGGGGGGAGGCCTGGGCCGCCTGCTGGCACTGCACCTAGCACGTCGGGGGTGCGTGCTGGCCTGCGCCGACGTCGCGGCCGAGCCCAACGAGGAGACCGTCGCCCTCGTGCACCAGCAGCAGCAGCACAAGCAAGCCGCCAGGGCGTACACCGCGGACCTCACGGAGAGGGCGGACATCTACGGCCTCGTCCAGAAAGTCCTCGAGGACTTCGGACACATCGACATCCTGGTGAGGCACCCCCATCCTCTATGTTGGCTTCATGAAAAAGTGTTGCATATAGGCAGGACGAAGATATGTTTTCAAAATGACGACATCGACTTTGGAACCCGCCACAGCTCAGCAACGCGGGGGTGATCCAGGGCGGCGCGCTGTGGGAGTTGAGCGACGCCCAGCTGGACCTGGTGCTGGACGTCAACCTGCGCGCCACCATGCTGCTCGTCAAGGCCGTGCTGCCGCACATGAGGGCGCGCGCCGAGGGCCACGTGGTGGCCGTCAGCTCCTCCACGGCCCTGGTGCCGGGCCGCGGCATCGTCGCGTACGCCGCCAGCAAGGCGGGGCTCAGCCGTGCGTATCCAGTGGTAAAGTCGCAGCGCACCGCGAGATCTGCCCGAGGCGACGTTCGAACCCCAGCTTCTGTTATGTTTTATCACACTCTCCTTGCGCGCTAGTGCAATGTAGCCTATAGCTTAAGCCGTTTAGCCGTAAGCTTTTTCGTATTGCCGCGTAAAATGTGTGCCAGCTAGGGGGTTTCAACACAGAAAATGCAATTCACGAAACTTCACGTCTTTATTGTGCCCTCACACACAAGTACAGAGTCACACTCACACTAGATTACTGCACGAAATCCTTCGTTGCAACACTCCAAGGTTGGTTTGGTTCAGTAGCCACGAGAAACTGCTTTATTATATTGAATGGGATACCCAGCGCGATTCGAAACTGTCCGACCTGTCTCGGCGAGTCTTGAGCTGCTCAAATTCATCTGCCAGCTGCATATGAGACCTCCATTTTTGTTTCTCCGGTCCGTTCCGCGCGGTCATGCGTGACGGCGTGGGCGCACCAGCCGATGCCGATCGGGCCGCCGCGGAGGTTGGACGATGCAGCCATGAGCCGATGACGTCCGCGACTCACGAAGGGCCGTTCGTTGCAGACGCCATGGAGTGCCTGCACCACGACCTGCGGCACGAGGGGCTGCACCGCCACATCCACGTCACCACCATCCAGCCCTTCTTCATCAACACCTTCGCGCGCCTGGGGAGCGCCCTCAAGTTCGGCGGGTGCGTAGTGGCGTGGCGCGCAGTGGGCCAGAAGACCGGTGGAGGTGGTCAAAATTCCAGACGCGTTTTGGGCTCCAGAGGCGCTAAATGGACTCGAATCGCACGTGCGTGACCCCACCGATGGATAGCTCTCTGAACGAGGAATCCATTGGTGGGGTCACACGTTCGGTTCAAGTCCTGTTTACCGACTCTGGCGCTCAAAACGCGTTTAGAATTTTTGCCACCTGCACTGTGTGGCGGTAATGGCGGCGCTGGGCCGCCCACCCAGGACCTTTCCACCCCTTTCACCCCCGCTGCTCCGCTGCTCCACTGCTCCGTAGTCCGTTCCGGGCGCTGATGCGGTTCCTGGAGCCCGACGAGGTGGCCAGGCTGGTGGTGGAGGCCGTCGCCGCGCGGAAGCACGTCGTTTGCATTCCGGGCCACGTCAGTTTGGTCGGCAAGCTGCTGGGGTAAGTCTCAAACCTTTGAGCTCAAGCTTAAAAGAAAATCCCACGCATTTCCATAAAAATAATATTTTTATTAGTTGCATATTCGTTTAGGCATTCGCATTCGAGAGCAAAGCTCAGCGCACTCTGGCTGCTCGTGCTAGTCCACCATTGGAACTGCCCGACGTAGCGACTAAACCCAACGCAATTTTTGTACTGCACTTATGGCTTTTTAACTCTAAAACCAATTTCCAGCAACAATGTCTGAGGCACCAGAATCGGTAAAATGCCTTTCACTCAAGCCAGTGATAGGCTCTTTGAACTGGCACTTTCAAATCCAAGTGGTGCTCGTGACTTTATCGCCGACATTGTCGCGCTCTGTCGCCTTCGAATGCGAATGCTGATATGCTGAACACTTACGTTGACAAGCAGGTTCTGCCTCTGTACACCGCAAAAAGGTGTCCGGGTTCCCCTGGCCCATCCAGAGTGGGCCTGGGAAACCCGGATATTGTTTTTTCCGAGTATTTCGAGGTGTACTTACAGTGGCATTCTGACAGACATTGCGCACAGCCTGTGCGTCATATCCAAGGGGTGAAAGGGGAATTAATCGCCTCCTCCTTGGGCACCAGGCAGATCCTCGCGTAGATCGGGCACCGCCTCCTTAGAAAATCCCACAGATCCGCGCCGGCCAATTCACACCCGCTCGTCTTGTGTGCGCAGCTTTTTGCCGCGACGCGCCCTGGCCTTCGTCTTCGAGCGCGTCATGAGGTTGGAGTCGCGGCCGCCGTTCTCCTACGAGCACCGCCACAAGGCGCTGGACCCCTGCATCCTGCACGAGCTGCTGTCCAAGGGCTACCCGCTCGAGGAGGACCCGGTGGACGTGTGCGCGGGGCTGTGCGCCGACCTCGGCGACGACCTCGGCGACGACCCCCAGGGCCTGCAGGGCCTCCAGGACGGGCCGCTGCAGTACGACTTCAGTCCGTTCTCGCGTCAAGTCGCGGAATTTTACCGATCGCGTGGCCAGGACATCCCGCCTTCCGTCAGGAAGGTGTTCCACGTCGCGTAGCGTCGCGCGCCCCGTCGGCCCGCGCGTTGCCCTGCAACTGTTTGACATGTAGTGCGAAACGGGCAGGAAGGAAACGAGAATGCTAAATAAAGACCTCGCAGAAAGCCTTCGACCTTGTTATCACACCCACAGTGCTTTAGGCCTGAGTTGCGCGACGCAATGGCAATCAGTGCACACGTGCATACAGTGCAGCGAGCGGCGCGAGCAGCCTGAGCATCCCGGGGAGGGGCAGAGCGGGCAGGGGCAGGGCCAGCCCGGCCAGGTAGGCAGGGCCAGGTCCGCCAGGTCGCCGTGACTGTACCAGAGCGCAAGCAGAGCGCGCTGTCTGCAGCAATGCCAAACGAAGAGGTCGGTCAGTCTATGCGAAGCACGGCACCATGGACGGCTTCATCTGCGCGCTGGTTGTCCTGGCGGCCGTGGTCGTGTACCTGGGGTGGCGGCAGGGCCCGGAGCACGACCTGACGGGCAAGGTGGTGCTGGTAAGGTGGTAAGGCGTGGCCGGCGTGGCTCTGGCAGTGGACATGCAGGACCCCGTCCTCAGGGTCCTCACTGGAATGACGGTCGCAGCTGACGGGCGCCGGCGGGGGGCTGGGGCGGCTGCTGGCGGTAAACCTGGCGGAGCGGGGCTGCCGGGTGGCGTGCGTCGACCTGGCCACCAAGCCCAACGAGGAGACGGCCTCCATGGTGCACGCCCGGGGCCGGCAGCATGGCGCCCAGCCACTGGCCAAGGCCTACACCGCGGACCTCACCAAGAGGGAGGCCATCTCGGCCCTGGTGGAGGACGTCATCAAGGACTTCGGCCAGATTGACATCCTGGTGAGTCGGTGACGAGGAGACCGCGTCGAGCCTGGGTGTTTTCCGGGACAAAATCGGCAAAAATCCTCGTTTTGGGCCGTGTCATCTTCTAATTCGAAACCGCCACCTGCCCGCAGGTGAACAACGCGGGGCAGCTGCAAGGTGGCGCGATTTGGGACCTGAGCGACGCCCAGATGGACCTGGTGCTGGACGTGAACCTGCGCGCCTGCATGCTGCTCGTCAAGGACGTGATGCCCCACATGAAGGCGCGGCGCTCGGGGCACATCGTGACCATCAGCTCCATCGCCGCCCTCGCCCCCACCCTCAACACGTCGGCCTACGCGGCCACCAAGGCGGGCGTCAGTCGTGAGTAGAGTGGGCCGAGCAGGCCCAGCAGGGTGTTGCCAGAAACCGGTGGAGGTGGCCAGAACTCTAGACGCGTTTTGAGCTCCAGAGTCACTAAATGGGACTCGAACCGAACGTGTGGCCCCACCAATGGATTGCTCTCCGAACGAGGAACCCATTGGTGGGGTCACACGTTCGGTTCGAGTCCCACTTAGCGACTCTGGAGCTCAAAACGCGTCTAGAGTTTTGGGCGCCTCTACCGGCTTCTGGCCCACTGTGTGTGGGGCAGTACGCGGGGCAGGGCGCGGGGCAGTCTCCAGGTCCAGGACGGGGGCGTTGCGAGTGACGAGGTACCCGCCGGCGTGTGTTGCAGAGTTCATGGAGTGCCTGTACTACGACCTGCAGAGCCAGGGGCTCCACGAGAACATCCACGTCACCACCGTCCAGCCGTACTTCATGAACACCTTCTCGCAGCTGGAGGACGCCGTCAAGTATAATGGGTACGTCGGGATTCCAATGTAATAGGTGGATCACATCACCTAGTGCAAAGGACATACGTATCACTGTAACTATTCCAATTGCCATAAGGACCGCACGTTTAGCGCAATACAATAAATTTCATGACACCTTTGTGCGATGATCATCGCAAAAACGGCGTGATGAATTTTGGTACTGCACAATTATGCTATGATCATCTCATAAAAGAGTGATAATTTTATTGAATTGCAAATTTAATTTCTGTCGTCATATGGCTTTTTAGCGATTATTCAGACTTTCATGGCAGAAACGTGCGATGATTATCGCAGCTGTGCAATTAAAACATCATTGCATCTGAGGAGCCAATGATTTAAGGGAATCGCACATTGAGGATGTCACCGCAGTTTTTAGCGCTGAAAGTAAAGCAACTCGGAAAGCACTGATTTGCGCATTCTAATCTGCACTAATCTTGTTTCCTCCTTTTTTGCGTCACCTTAATCGCAGTCCGCTCGGCAAGCTGCTTTTCTCGTTCATGGACGCCAAGGTCAGCGCGCGGACCATAACGAAATGCATCGCGACTCGACAGCACGTGGCCAACCTGCCCGCCCACCTTGGATTCACCGCCAGCCTGCTGCGGTACGTGCTGCACAGACGACAGGCCAGGCGATGCGCGGCGATGCGCGAGCGCGCTGCCCCCGCCGTGTCCCGTCGCCAGGCAACTCTTTCCTACGCCGCACTTGTTTTCGTTGCAGCCTCTTCCCCAGGGCGGCGATGGGCTTCGTCATCGAGTCCCTCGCCAAGCCGGACATGAAGATCTTCGACTACAGCGCGACCCGCCACGGGCGCCAGCTCGCGGAGAAATGACATCGTTCCAGCTGCCGGTGTCCGCGACCGCAACGAGGACCCCACTCGGAGTTCTCTGCGGCCTTCATGACCTCCTGGAGGGTGATCTCGACGTTGGGGTTGTGACGGCTTGGCTGCTTCGGGCTTCAAAACGAAACATGACACAGTATTCACTTTATTGAATGTCTTACGCTATTTTATTCACTCCGCCTCAGTATGCTACAGGAAATAAGTTAAGTCCGGGACCGGCACTCTGCACACCGCTGCAGTCCAATGCTGTCCTCGCGGTCGGTTCGCGGCCATCGGCCCACACTTGTTGCACTACACTATGTTGGCTACGGCGACCCCTCCGCCTCCTCCGGGCGGGGCGGCTTCGTCTAGTCCAGGGCGACGTCGCTCAGGTCGTCCGGGGCCGCGGTCGGCCTCCTCGTCGTCGTGGAGGTCTTGGTCTTGGCGGTCGCCTTGGCGCGCTTGGAGGGCTTGGCGGGCCGGGCCGGGTCCTGCAGGCCCTGCAGCTGTAGGCGGCTCGGTGGACTGGCTTCCTTCCGGTACAGCTTGCGGAGGTGCGACACCAGTGGGGCGCCGGAGAGCTTGGTGGGGTCCTGCAACACGAAGAGCACCCCGTCATTTCTCAGAACTAAAAGCCACCACAAAACGACGGCAAACGGCCGCGTCACCCCCACGACGACGACGTCGTCGACGCGCGCGGCTTCCGCGTGCGCTGCGGTGCGGCGTGCAGCCCTTGACGGGCTCCTCGCGGATGGCGGCGCGCGGCCCGCGAGCGGCCACCAGAACGAATGGCACGGCTATAAGGGGAATGTGAACGATAGCAAATGGTGCTGGCGAGGGCATTAGCTTCGCGGCGCTGTGCGGCGCTTTGCGGCAAGTGGCTGAGCGTTGCCGTTGCCTGGCGGCGCGAGGCGCGAGGGCATTACGTTCTGCATAACTGGCTGGATTCGTGATCCGTGGCGCCGCGCCGCGGAATCACCCCATTACAAGGCGGTGGCGTTGGGGGCGGCTGGGCCGGGCTGCGTCTCGGCTACGCCACGCCAGGCTACGCCCCGGGCAGCGCTCCTCGTCCTGGGCGTGTCGACACCGCGAGGCGCCGCGAGGGTCTGCTTTGCCTAGTTATGCCTGGTTATGCCGCGCACTGCACGCTGCCCGCTCTAGACCGTTGCACCATTCTGGGGCTCCTTACCGGCGCGGCGACTGGCACGGAGGCTGGCCCGGAGACGTCGGCCTGCTGGGCCAGGTCGTTGTCGATGACGGGCCGGCGGGCCGCCTTGGCCGCCACGGACGTCCTCCAGGCCGTGAGCCAGTTGCCGGCGGCCGCGTTGACGGGGACGGCGGCGACGGCGTTGTCGAGGGCGTCGTTGTCCAGCGGCTGCAGCGCGGCGTGCCGCTTGCTGGACGACGCCGAGCCGAAGTTGGGCCCCCCGGCCTGCAGCGGGCGCGTGTTGGTCTGCGGGCCCAGCTCCAGCACGATCTGCGCGTCGGCGTGCGGGCCCAGGCGGAAGCCCAGCCCCACTCGCGAGTCGGTTCCTGCGGACAGGTAAGGAGGCAGGACATGTTCAGCGGCGCCGTGGGATAGGCAGCCCAACGCACGCCGCGGCCGACGGGACAACTTTTCTTGGCACCACGGTGGGGTGGGTCCGTACAGTCTCTTCAGCGATGAACCGAGGTCCAGGGTGTCATGCTGCCCTGAGACGGAGGCGGGACCGCCTACCTGCCTGCCCCAGAGGAGGCCCCCCGCCGTCCAGTCCCAGTCCGAATACTCAATTTGGCGGGGATTGAAAATTCAACCAATTGAACGATATATTCGGAATCCTTGGGATCTGCTGAAGAAAGTGATATAAAAATTATCTCGATTCCACTAATTTCTTCAGTAGAAGTTCGAATAAGGAATACCGTTCTAACACGATTTTCTCCTGAACGGAACATCGTAGAATTGAAATTCAAACTGTGTCTTGTCCGTGAAATCGTGACGGAGACAATGTCATGCAGCATCAAACTTCAAGGCAATTAAAAAAGAGTTTAGCAAAATTGATCCTTTTTCTATTGAGGCCTTTTCTTCCGAGAATTAGGGTCGCTCGTCGCCTGGTCGGGTCCCCCGTCCCCAGGCGGTCCCGCCCCCTCAGTGCATGGCGATGAGGCAAAGACGAGGTGGACTGTACCGACTGTACAAAAGTAAAGCAGTTCCGGGCCCTCACTCCTATGGGCACGCATATGGATACGCACTGCACTGGCCGAAAACATTTTGGGTGTGACATCCCCGGCTGCTGCCAAGAAAAGTTGTCCCGTACTCTAGCGGCTAGCGGCTAGCGACGCCCGGCCGGCCGCCATGGTAATTGTCCCGCTTCATCAGGCCGGCGAAGGCGTCGACGGTGGAATAATTGCAATACTTTTCGACTCGAGCGCACGGCGCACGGCACCACCGGCCACGCCCGTCGACGCCCGGCCTCAGCCCACGCGGCCCCACACTGCTGCAATATGCTTCGCGCCGGCGATGAAATCCGCCCTGCTCGCGGCGGCGTCGGCGAGGACGCGGCCGACTCGATCACGCGCAACGACAAGCAGAGCCAGGTTCTGTTTATTTCTCATTTTCATTCGCCAAACAGTACGAACTTCGCGCGGATCGACACGGCTGTCCTTTGGTCCTTTTGGAGACTGCCACTCCGCCTCGACAACGCCGCATTCCTGGCCACGTTCCTTCCGATCTCTTCCAACGGCGGCATTGAGTGGCGGGGCGGGGCGGGGCGGGGCGGGGCGGGGTGCCGCGCGGTGAAAGGGCCCGGCGGCAATGAGTCCTGAACGAGGCAGGATGCCAACGCGAAGCGCCAAGGCGGCGTGGGGCCGAAGATGAGCTAATGTCTCAATCGCCCTGCCACGGCCTCGCGCTTACAGTGCCGTGCAGCAGTACCTTGCAGTGCCGTGCCGGACGGACCGCGGGACGGCCCCGGTGGGACGGTGCCAAGCGATGACCGGCGACATGCCGGCGATGACGCCAAGGCCAGATGCAAACACTGCCCCTTGAGAGCGACGCCTTCGCGCACCTTATTACAACCCTAGGGTTGAATGTCACTACTTGGCGTGGTGGCGCACTCGAGAGTACAGGACACTGCTGAATGAACAAGCAGTTTTACGGGGATATACAGCACAAGAACAGAAAACAAAAAATAATCAAAAACAGCGGGTTCCATTGTAGTAGCGCACATTATTTTTTGATGGACCTTTTGTTTGCTGATTTTTTTCTCGCGAAAGAAAACATGGTTTTCTCCGGCATTGTTTACTTTTTTCGCGGTGTGTGTCCGAGTGTTGGCCGTGGAGCAACAAGCTCGCCCCGGCGGCCCGGCGGCCACGCGTTCAGTCACACGAGTAATAAGCAGAACAGCCCGAGGAGCACCGGGCCGGGCGGGGCCCTGGCAGCCCCGCTGGCCCCTCCGCGGCCCCACCCGGCCCCGCCAGGCCCCGCCACTGCTCCGCGCCGACGCAATATTTCTCGCGACCTCCTGCCCTAGTGTCTATGATGGCTACTTCGCACTGATTGGTTCGGGCACATAAAAACAAAAATTCTGAACAAATTTCGGTTTTCTTTGGGTTTTGGGTTTCTTGGGTCAACGGAAAGCGGGGTGGACTCACCCTTCCGGATGGGCGGGATGTTGGAGTAGACGATGGACAGGAAGGACACCAGCTCCTCGGGCACGATGAAGGCCGCGGCACCTGCAGCAACAAACAAGAACCGTGTCACATTCGGATTCACATTCACCGCGACCGCACGTTCGTGTAAGACACACATTCGGGTCCGTGTCGCGAGAGCGAAGGCCGCGGCGCCGCCGGCCGCGGGGGGAAACGTGATCCACCGAGGGCGGCGCGAGGCGCGATTACTCATTATATCCAGATTGAGATTCGCATGCCGCCGGATCCAGATTGGCGTCCGCAGGCGCCGCGTGCCGCGCCCACGCGGTGACGCGTCGGCCGGCCTTCCCCGCGCGTCTCGTCGCGGACCCCGGATTGTTCGGACTTGTGCGTGTGAGTGTGTGAGTCGCCGGGTGGCGACACCACACGGTTTATTGCCCTTGCCCACCCGGCCCGCCCGCCGCCGCCAAATCCGATGACGCGCGCCGCCAGCAGTGAGCTGCCTCCATTTCCAAATTAGTGAAATCTATTTCAGATTCTCTTTTTTGCTCACTTTGTTGGCCGCGGACGCGCTAATCTGCGGATTCGGCGCGCTGCGCGGAGGCAGGAAAGGAAAGGTGTGGCGCGGAAGGCAACGCGCGTAGCCGCCAATCTTGATCCTTGCACGCTGCGTTTTGAAACGCGCGCTGGGCCGAGCTGGCCGTGCTGGCCGCCGGTGACACGGTCTTTCAACGCGCGCCGCGCGACCGTGCTGGCCCTGCAGGCCCTGTTGGCCGTGCACAGGCCGTGCAGGCCGTGCTGGCCCTGCTGGCCGAGCTGGCCGTGCTGGCCGTGTCGACATTGGGGAAGGCGATGGCCGGTCGGACGACATCGCGACGTGGGCTTTACATGCTTGCGATATTGCGACGCGAAGGACGACGAAGTAACGCGGCCCTCCCCGCGCATCCCTGTGCATCCTCGGCGTCCTCGGCATCCTCCACTCAGACTCGTTGGCGGTTGGAGCGTTGGCGCCTCGCCTCGTCGCCAGAGCGACGACGCCACAACGGCACCCGCCACTCCGCCAGGGCAGGCCCAGCCAGGCCGCGCCGGGTAATACGAATCTAATCAACCAAATACCCGGGTACCCGGGTTACCGCGCCACTCCGCGCCACTCTGAACAGCGGAAAAGAGTTATTACGGCGCCTAGTCTCGATCCGCGCCACGCACCTCGCCCGGGCGTGGCGTGGCGTGGCGGGGCGGGGCGGGGCGTGGCGTGGCGTGGCGGGGCGTGGTGGGGCGTGGTGGGGCGGGGCGGGATGCGGCGAGGCGGGAGCTCATACGGCAGGGCAGAGCAGGGGCAAGCCCGTCACGGCCAAGAGAGAAAGCGGGCGAGGATATCGCCTGGCACGCCGCGCCGCTACGCCGCGAGCGTCACGGCTAAAGGCAGAGATCGGCTGCACTTGTTGCATCACTTGTTGTACTCCATCGGGAGCCAGCCGGCCTGCCCCTGGCCTGCCCCGCCCGGGCCGCGGCGATGAGTGGCACGAGCCAGAGGGCCAGGCGGCCCGCACATCCGCTGCCCGGCCAAGGAGGCCGTCGGGCTGCCTGGACATGGCCTGGACGACAGGCAGGGCAGCCCGTCTTGGCGCGGTTCAATTAGTTGAATGCCAGCCAGCGCCCGCGGCCAGCGAGGACCCTGGCCCCTCGGGCACCCCCGCGGCCCGCGCCCCACGGCCTCGCAGCCTCGCAGCCTCGCAGCGGGCCCAAGGCCGTGCCTGCTGCCCTGCCGCTGGCCGCCGCTGGCCGCCGCTGGCCCTGCATTTCGACAGGCAATGCGTCAGGAACGTCAGGAACGACAAGAGCGTCAATCGAGGCGGCGCTCCGAACGGCAGGCCGGCCGGCCATTGCAATTCCAGGCGGCACCGCGTCCATGCCGATGTCCATGCCGATGTCGATCGGAGACGAGACGGATCGCTGTCTTGGGCCCCGCCACCCCCTCCACGACCCGGTCCCGGGACAACGGCCACGGCAGGCCCACCTGTCAGAGCGTCGCGGACTCGGGGAGGGCGGGGAGGCCGAGAGGGAGGCGAGCAAGCTTTCCTGACTAATGCGTTCTGGCCGATAGCGAGGCATTATTTATGTGGCCCGCACGCTGTCGCACCCTGGCCCTGCCCCGCCCCGGCCAACGCTGGTCGTTCATAGCGGATTTGACAGCCAGCGCCGCGCTACCGCGCCACCACGCCCGCAGGCCGCGGTGCACACAGTCCAAGTCAACTAACTCACTGCATCCGACAGAGACAGAGACGAGCACGTCTGCTGGCCTTTAGTTCCTCCATAATGTTCTCCAGCTTTACTACTGCAGGGAGGGAATGGGAGTTAGCTCACGAGAGTGGTCTGCAGTGCGCAGTCTCTCCGAGAGATGGAAATGGCGCGGATGAGAAATTGCGCGCTACGCGTTTTTGACGGGCGCGGGAAAATGAGCGGTCGCCGGTCAGGGCTGGTCGTTCTGGCGCTCTCGCAACGGCAACCGAGGCGGGACTACCCCAGGCTAAGAACGGTCCGAATGCAAAGAAAGGACTCGGATCGAATCAGGTCAGCCACCGTCAGCAGCTACCCGCCCCCTTTCTTTAAGCCCCCGCCACCTGGTCTAAAGCGCGCATCTTGAGAGATAAATGGCGCGAAGAGTTGCGCGCTAGCTTTTTACCTGACCGGGAAAAATGAGCGGTCCCCGGGGTTTTCAGGCCTTGGTCGTTCTGGTAGCCTCGAACCGGAGAACCGAGGGGCTCCCCAGGTAAGAACGGTCCCCATGCATTAGATGGGAACTCGGCGAATCAGGTTTTTTAAAGTGAAACCGTTCAGTTAAAAACAGTGGGAATGTACCCTTTTTTCACAACCTGACCATGCCACACAAATTCAAGAAGATGCACATCACAAAGACAAGCAGTGGGACTTCCCCGGATACGGTGGGGCGGGGCGGCGCACGGTGGGGTGGGGTTGGGACGGGACACATCGGACACCGCGTTGCCCGCCGTTGCCTAACGCGGCCCGTCGGGGATCGCCGAGTCCGTGTCAAGGCGGGGCCAGGCCGGGCAGGGCTTGTCCGGCGCTGACCTTTCCTGCATGGCGCGGTGGCGCAGCGCGCAGCGGCGCAGCCACGAGGATTCCGAGCGGCATAGTCCCTCTCTCTCGCACTCGCGGACGGCACGTAGGGGCGCGATGAGAGAGACAGGAGTCCCAAGGGGCCGCGCGCTCGGCCATCCGGCCGGGAACCCTCTGACGGGGACGTGAAGGGGAAGGGAAGGACGGCCATCGCGCTCTGAATGCCCGGGATGCCCAGCGCCGCGTGGAGTCGTGCACGCCGTTCGCATGGTGTGGTGTCGTGCCGGATGCGTCGTCGGCCGGTTCACGGCCGCGTGGCCGCGTGGCCGCGTGGGTCGGCCTCACTTACGCCTTTTCTTTGGCGCACGCAACGCAAAGCAACGTCAGTGTCTCCCTCGGCCGGGCTATTAATTCATCACGATTACGCTCGTTACATCGCGCACTGCGCCTCCACTGCGCGTGGCGTGCCGGCAGAAGGACGCACGTTTCTTTGTGACCGACCGGCCGGCCGCCACGACGCGTTGTGCTTGGTTGGGTTGGCATGGCACGGTGCTGCCGTGCCGCAGCCTTCCCTCTCGATGCCCGGGAGGCACAGGGCAGGCACAGGGCCGCCACGCCACTAGCGGCAAAGTGCAAGCAAACCTGACTAGTATGCTCCGGGGTCAAGCAGTTTGTCGTCCTCTACGAGCCAGCGTGTGTGTGTGCGTGTTATTTGTGTTTATCCTCAAGCTTTCAAGAGCCGGTGTGGCTACCTCGTGTAGTTTGTCCACCGTAGGACAGGACAATAGGAGACAAAACATGCGAGTGCGTAAAGAAACAGCTGCTTCCTTGGTTCACCCGTCCTCTGAGAAGGCCACAGTCGGATCCGACTCAGACGAAACTGAAAAGGAACACCACTCATTGCCTATCCTTGTTTCAGAAATGCTACCAACGTGAACGGCGTACGTTTTACGACTCCATTTGTGACTCCATAGCAAATTGTGCGTTTTTTGAAACGTCTTTTTTCCCAATTGTGGTTACTTTTCGTTGAAAGAAAAACCATACAAGGAAAGCCTGCGACACGATGGAATGCATGCACTATCTCCGGGTTCTCCGGAGAGCAGAAGGGGGGACCTCTCCCCTCACTCGAACCCACGCGCTCCTGAATCCGCAAGTCACAACGCCGTCTCTTTCCAGCCCGGCGGCCGCCTCTCTGAGACTCTGAGACTCTAGACCCCTGGCCTGTCGACCTTTGCGAGCCCTGCGTTGTTCTGGCCGCAGCTCCGCCGCCCTGTTCCTCGTGGGCCACACGTCGTGCCACGCCGCCACGCCGTGCCGTGCCGTGCTCCGCGCCGCCGCGCCCTCTATCCGCCACGCGCCGTAAAAGTGCTCCGGGCACTAAAGTTGTGACGAATATATTGCGGCACTTCTCGGAGGCGGCCGGCGCGGCGCGGCCGGCGCGCGGTCCGCGGCTTGACGGCGCGGGTCCAAGGCCAGGCAGGCAGGCCAGGCAGCCCCGGCCTGGAGCTGGACAAGCAGCGCGGGCCGCACGCACCACCTTTATCAGGCTATCGGGCGGCCGGGCCGGGGCTGCGCTGCGCACTGCGCGACGTGCGTGGAAAGTGGCAAACGCGGTTGATTCGTTTTTAAAGACGCGCTCAAAGTGGCGCGGAGTGCCGTCGCGTTACGCCAGTCTCGCAGCGCGTGCTGCAGTGCTACTTACAGGAGGCCAGCAGGGCCCAGACGGCGCACTGGATGGCCGCCCGCGGCGCCCGCATGGTGGAGCAGGGACTCGGGACGCCGATTCCTGTGGACACACGCAAAACAGATTAAAGCGTTTCATGTGGAGCTCGCGAGAGACCGGCAGGCACGGCACGGCACGGCACGGCGAGGCGGTCGGCGAGCAGCCCCTCCGGTCAATAAACGCATTCGGGTTTACGCACCACGCGCCGTACCCGCCGCCGCCGACAACGGGGAACTCGGGGAACGAGGTGCGAATTACCGGGCCGATCGCTCCATCGCCTCGCCTCGGCACTGCGCAGTTAACGGGAATTACCACCGAGATTACCGGCCGGGCCCCGCCCGGACCACCCTACGTCGAGTCGGGGAGCGCCTGTCATCGGGCGGGTGGACAGCCCCGCCCGGACCACCCCACGTCGAGTCGGGGAGCGCCTGTCATCGGGCGGGTGGACAGCCCCGCCCGGACCACCCCACGTCGAGTCGGGGAGCGCCTGTCATCGGGCGGGTGGACAGCCCCGCCCGGACCACCCCACGTCGAGTCGGGGAGCGCCTGTCATCGGGCGGGTGGACAGCCCCGCCCGGACCACCCCACGTCGAGTCGGGGAGCGCCTGTCATCGGGCGGGTGGACAGCCCCGCCCGGACCACCCTACGTCGAGTCGGGGAGCGCCTGTCATCGGGCGGGTGGACAGCCCCGCCCGGACCACCCCACGTCGAGTCGGGGAGCGCCTGTCATCGGGCGGGTGGACAGCCCCGCCCGGACCACCCCACGTCGAGTCGGGGAGCGCCTGTCATCGGGCGGGTGGACAGCCCCGCCCGACCACCCCACGTCGAGTCGGGGAGCGCCTGTCATCGGGCGGGTGGACAGCCCCGCCCGGACCACCCTACGTCGAGTCGGGGAGCGCCTGTCATCGGGCGGGTGGACAGCCCCGCCCGGACCACCCCACGTCGAGTCGGGGAGCGCCTGTCATCGGGCGGGTGGACAGCCCCGCCACGCAGCCGCGCGCCGCGTCGCCTCGCCGGCCTGCCTTCCAGGCGGCGCACAGTGGGCCAGAAGACCGGTGGAGGCGGCCAAAACTCTAGACGCGTTTTGGGCTGCAGAGTCGCTAAATAGGACTCGAACCGAACGTGTGACCCCACCAATGGATTGCTCTCCGAACGAGGAATCCATCGGTGGGGTCACACGTTCGGTTCGAGGCCTGTGTAGTGACTCTGGAGCTCAAAACGCGTCTAGAGTTTTGGCCGCCCCCACCGGTCTTCTGGCACACTGTGCGGCGCCTCGTTTGCGGTGCGGAGCGCGGCGGGGCGGCGACCGCAGCGAGGAAGTCGAGTGCCACCACGGCGCCACAACGCGGCAAGCGGGGACACGCCCCGACGCCCAGCAGACCCAGGTGTCGTTTCGTCGCTCCGTTTTGTCGCCCTCGGGCGGCCCGAGGGGTGCGAGGGAGACAGAGCGACGAAACGACTCTTCGGAGTCGATCCGAACGCGCGGCGCCGGCGGCGTGGCGGACAGCTCGTGCAGCATATCGACACCCGGCCGCCGCGGCGCACGCGACCAAGCGACCCTCCGTGCAGTGCAGTGGCGGTAACGACTTGCAACGTCCCCGACTGGGCCGCGCCGGCCGCGCCGGGCAGCGGGCAGCGCGCTGCGAACTGGCCGAGGCCCCCCGAGCCCCGCCCCGCGCCCCCCGCGGCCCCGCCCAGGCTCACTTTCCATTCCAAACAAGACGAGCAGAGCAGAGCACGCGGCGAAAAAATCTGCGAGTGGGTCTGCCTTTTGCCTGGACCACCTGGGCCGGTCGGGTCGGACGGCGCGGTGCCTCCCCGCGGCTCAGCCTGGCTCAGCCCCCGAAGCCGGTGGGGCAGGGTCCGGCGGGGCGGCGGCCGCGGCCGCGGGTCTCCCCGTCGGCCTCCAGGACCGCGGCTTGTGTCACCGAGTCGCCGATCGGGTTGCATCAACGGGGCGCTACTGCTTGGACCTTCTTCGGGAGCTTCTTCGGGTCGGGGCTGGCTTCGGGGCCGGCTTCGGGCCTGGCCGCGGGCGGCGTGGGGCAGGGGGCGGGGAGGGGAGGGGGGCGTTGTGCCAGGTGGACGGCGGCGTCACCATGTCGTTGTTCGGCGCCCAAAGAAAAGAAAGTCTGCGGACGGCGTGGGGCGGCGTGGCGGCGCGGCCGTAGTCGCGCAGCGCCTGTACCGTCACCGTCCCGATGCTGACCGCCACACCGCCACCCCCGCCCCGAGTCCGTCCGGCCGACATTACTGGTGCGGTGCGCCTTGCTGTGACGTTACCCGCCAAGGCGCGTTCTCACAGCTCCAGCGCGGCCAGTCGTAACCGCAATGAGGCGGGGTCTCGGGATCTAACTAATTCAGTAATTTGAAAAACGCCGCCGTCGCGTCGCGTGGCCGCGCGAGGAGGCCGCCTGCGACTGGCCATACTGCGAGTGGGAGTCGTAGCCGCTTGAGGTTCTTCTCCGCCGGGATAAAGTGTCACCTTAGTAAGGACGGCCATGTCTCGTTTTGCAGTGCAGGCGGGCATGTGTCGGGCCCGAAATGGCATACGATCATGTGTGGTCTAGCCCTTAATGGTAATGGTAATGGTGCGGCCGGGCCGCAACACACGCCTGCATGGCCTGGCTGCCTACCCTCCGTTCCGCGGGCGCTTTTCGGCACCTTGAGGCACGCTGCTTACGCAAGTGTCCCTTTTTCGTGATTCCTTTGCAGACTGGCGTTAAAATCGTGACACTAATGTCTCTCGATGCCGGTTTCTTCCTCCGGGCCGAAAAAAAGAAATAATAGCCACAGAGATAGAACTTCCAGACAGCGTGGCTCCCCGCGCGGTCGCGACGGCCGGAGCTTTCTAGCGGCATGTCCGTCCATTCTCGCTCGCAGTGGTCCGCAGTGCTCCGTAGTGTAGAGCACCATTCTTGTCAACGGGGCTACTGACCCCTCGCCTGACTCACTCCCTCTCTTTCCTCGCTTATACGTCGTCCACCTTGCGCAACACCAGGGTCCGCGTCGCATCGGATCGCTTCGGATTGGCGCGAGGCGATGAATGAAATTAGTGGAATTCGGTCAATGTATGCTGCGGAGGCGACGCCATCTCCATAACGGCACCGCAGCACCTCACCTCGGTCTCGGGCCGATCGCATCGAGCAGGGCCGCCGGGGACCGCCGCACAGTGGGCCAGAAGACCGGCGGAGGCGGCCAAACTCTGGACGCGTTTTGAGCTCCAGAGTCGCTGAACAGGACTCGAACCGGGCGTGTGACCCCACCAATGGATTCCTCGTCCGGAGAGCAATCCATTAGTGGGGTCACACGTTCGGTTCGAGTCCCATTTAGCGACTCTGGAGCTCAAAACGCGTCCAGAGCTTTGGCCGCCTCCACCGGTCTTCTGGCCCACTGTGCGCCGGGCACCGCCCTCCCTCCCAGGCCCACGCCCGCATCGCCCCCTAGCGAAAGTGTCTCATGGAGGAAAGACTCACTGGGACTTGGGCGGCGTGGCGAAAACTGAGGGGACTTGCCTGACTCGCGCTCCAAAGGTCACGCCGAGTACTGTTGTTGATTGTTGCACCGAGGCGAGGCGACGGACACCTTGCTGCCGGAGCACTCAGAAAAAAAATAGAAAATGGGACTAATCCAAGACAAGAATCACAAAACAAACATTTGTTTTCAAATGCGTAAGAACAAACTTTTTGTTTCTGTTTTTGGTGATGGTCGCCCCGGGGACTGTTCCTGGCAGTGTATGTAGGCTCCCCCACGCCCCCGCGGCGCACGCAGCACGGCATTGCAACGCCCTCCCGTTCGGACTCGGGCCCAACCGTTTCCAGGGATTACTCAGAAATGCCCCGGCAGCCAGCGCCGGGCCCGGAGGAGGATGGAGGATGTGGGGAGTGGAGGCGGGCATCCACGGTGAAGCGTCATGCGATCACGGGGAGAAGGGAAAGGAAAGGGAATTCGGCCTTTGTTTTGAGGCGAGCAAGGAGTCCAGCACACCGGCAGCGCGGCAGCAGACCGATCAGGGCAAACGCTCTGCTCCGCTCCCTGCGCCTTACGCCCCCCCCCCCCTCCCCCTTTGCCAAGGCTGAGCCGGCGGGGCTGAGCGCCCGGGAGGCCAGTTGCCTGACACCAAGAAACTGAGGCTTCTATGCACTAGGAAAGAGGAACGTGGAACGATCGACTTAGCCGTAACAGAGAATCGGCCCTCTGGTCCGCGCCGACGTCGCCCTGCGTCGCCCTCGCGCGGAGCAAGCACCGCGTCCAACATGGTCATCTTGGTTGTCTTGGTGTGCCGGCGGGGGAGTAGACGCAGCAGTACCGATCGCACAGGGAGAAAATGAAAATCCGTGACATTCAGACTCGCCGAAACATCCACGAACACGCACACACACTGTCACGAAATGTGTGTCGCTTCGCTTGCATTGGCGAGGTCATTTGCAGTCAAGCGAAGTTGGAGTTGTCTTGGTCCCCAGTCCTCGGCGACCTCCTCGTGGGTTTACGCGGCCGTCGCGTTGTCGCGCGCGCACGTTCGCGTGTGTGCCGCCGCGGCCCTGGCGCCTGCCGACTGATCCCGAGTGTTGTTTTCGTCGCTCTGTCTCTCTCGCACTCACCGAGCGTCCCGTCAAGGTGCGAGAGAGACAGAGCGACGAAAGCGACTCTCGGAATCGGTGACCAGGTGCGGCGTGGACCGAGGCGGTGAAATGGCTGGCTGGACGCGGTGGACGCGGCAAGGCCCAGGGAGGCACGCCGCGAGGCCCGTGATGGACGGCAAGCTGGCAGTGTCCGAGTCGTCCACGGCACGCTCTCGGGCACGCCGGCATGAAGCAAGCACCAAGCCATCAGCCTGGCTCGGCCTGGCCGTGGAGCGCAGAGCGACGAGCAACGCACCCCCGGGACCGGGTCAGCGCTTTTGGACGCGAGTCTGACGACCGCGGGATGACTCGACGCTGCGACGCTGCCCGGTGGGGGTCGTCGCCGTCGTCGGCTCACCTGTTAGATCATGGCCCGTCCTGGCCGTCCTCGCCTCCGCCGAAAGGACCGGCAGGTAAGTGCAGATCAGCCCCTCCCATGGGGCGAGCGGACGCCGCGGACGGGGCGCTGCGGGGCACTGCTCGATCCCTTTCCGATGACTTTCACCCAACTGCAGTAAAGTGTAGCGGACACGCGTGACAAGGCCGACACGTGTGACACGACGCGGTGCGGGAGACGCGGTGCGGAGCGGCACTCCGGCGTACTGGACGTACTGAACGTCGGCGTCGGCGGCCCGTGCGCGACTGACGGCAGAGGCAGATGGCAGGGCGGAGGGGCGGAGAGGGGCCCAGTCTGCCCAGGCCCTCGGGTGGGGCCGCCCCCTCCCCCTTTCCCCCTCCCGCCGCCGGACACGACGGACCAGAATCCTGCGGCCAACTACCTCCTGTTTTCAATTAAGGCATCGCACGATTACTGTCGGTGCGTCTCCGTCCCCGCATGCAGCACCTGCGATTTGATAGTGCCTTGCCTTGACAACGCTGCTGGGGAGGGGGAATACCAGCGGCTCGGTGTCTCCGAGTCTCGGTGCTGGCGGCGAAGGGCGCAGGGCGCCCTGCCTGGCCCTGCCTGGCGCGGCCCTGGATGTGGACTTGTGGAGCCCGTACCTGAGAGCTGTACTCAGCCTCGTAATGCCTATGACGACTAGACTAAGGCAGTGATGTGATAGCCAGCCCCCCTCCCCGTTCCCCCGCCGCTCAAAAGCGGTCTGCCGGTCTGGCTCGCCACACCTGAAAGAGAGAGTGAGGTGAGGCGCCCCCCTCCCGTCCGGAAAACCAACGCCCGGCATCCGGATGGCCGGACGCCAAAACACGCGAGGGCTTGCCCCTGGGTTCAAATACCGGCTCTGTAGTTGCAAAATTATTAATAGTCTTTGTGCATTCATCAGAGATGAGCCGCGCGACCAGTCGGCCACACCAACTCTTCATTGAGGCTACTCGTGCTGATTAAACATCCTGTTTTGATTGACTTGTCAAAGAATACAAGAAATGCCATCAGAAGAGAAAGAGCATGATGTAATTTAGAGCAAACTTTTGTCTAGAAATTACTTAACATATTTACAAATACATAAAGATCTTCTTACATTTTATTTCCTACTTTTTCCAACTATGATTTTGGGAAAAACATTTGAAGGAAATTCTCATATATTGTCACATCTGTTGGTAGAAAAACACAGAAGATAACTCGATCAATCTGGAAAAATAAAATCAGTATAAAAGAAAAAATAATTGATAACTAGTGCAACAGATACAATCAGTTTGTGGTGAAACACATACCTCACTGTGATTTTTTTCCAAGAATAGACGAATAGTTTTCAGAGCAACTTTAGCTGCTGCCTCCTGTGGATAGCCTGGATAAGAATAAAATGATAAATTGATAAAACTATTCTTTGACATAAGAACGAGGATATAGAATCATTACTTACCATATACACCAGTCGAGATGCATGGGAATGCCTGACAACAAAACAACAAGCCTCTTTAGAAAATTGAGCAAAAAATCATTAAGAGAGACCAATGCAGCAATAAAATCAAAACGGTCTTTATGGCTTTTTACAGTAAAAATTACTTACAACAGATTTCAAGCGGTTTTCTCTAACAAGATCCAGGCAAGATTCATAGCAATTCTTCAGATCCTGAGGATGTTCACCTTGAGGCCCAACAGTGTGAATGACATCTGCAAAGAGAGTTCTAAAAATAAAACATTGTTTCCAACTGTTTGATTTATTAAAGGAATATTCCTACGTACATTTAGCTGGCAGCTTGTACCCTCCAGTTATTTTTGCTTGTCCTACTGAGCATCCTTTCAGGGTGCGGCACTCTTCTTTCAGTGAACCTCCAGCAGCTCGATGAATGGCACCATCCACTAGAAAATATTGAAGTATCCCAGTTTAGCTGAGAGGGATATCATGAACAGAGTCATAGAAATAGTGGTTGTTTCAATGAGTTATTGTGCTTTTAGAAAGCTTTGACCGTTGTACTTACCACCACCTCCTCCAAGAAGGGATGAGTTTGCTGCATTGACAATAGCATCGATTTCAAGGGTGGTAATGTCTCCCTTCCATAAAGAAATCTTCTCAGTTAAGGAAGGTTGAACAGAGTGTTTTTCCGGAAGCTGAACACAAGCCTCACGCTGAGTGATGAGACGGCTCTCATTGTTTTGGAAGTATGTCGACCATGTTTCTATGTCCGACAAAGTTTTGAAGTCCTTATTGCACTTGTACTCCAAGCGCTTCTCATCAATGGGTAGGGAGAGGTACTTGGCTAAACAAATGATAAAACTTCAAGTAACATAAGCATAACAGGAGACAAGGAAAGAAAGAAAATTGATGCCTACCTTTTTCTTCTGAGAAAGTCATGGTGGCCAGGGAGCGTAATCTGCACAGAGAATAATTTAAAAGAGTAAGAACTGGTGACAGCTTCAAGGAGGTATGCATATCAGTAGATGGGTAATATGCGAAATTCCAAGATATTTGAGGTGCACTCGTAAATACGAATCCGACTCTAACCTCTTACAACGCAGCGGTTTCGTTTAACGTCCCGGCTTATTCCTTTCAGCACACAGAAAACTGAAATTCTGCAACCAACAAGAACAAGAGAACAACACAACAACACAAGAAGTGCACAAGGCGGATGACTCCCTGATTGGTCGCAGCAGCCGACGACAAAACTTCCTCTTTTCCTTCTTCTTCCGTTCGGCTTAACTTGAAAAAAAGTCGTCTATTTCCTTTAAAATTTAAGAAAATTGTCATTTTTTCTTGCAATAAAGATATTTAATTTACATTTCATCAGCTTCAATATCAAAGCTTCTTTTCCGGAAATCTGGTCAGTTTCTGAACACACCCAACACAGCACGCCGTAGCCAGCTGTTTCGAACACTCCCCTCTCCGTGGGATCAATATGTCTTTTTAGTTTATATCCTTTCGAAACAGGGCCGAAATTCGCTAAATTAATATGACTACGGTTTCCAAGGCCGCAATTGGCATCGCTGCGGGTGTCTGCGGCACCTTGATCCTGGGATACTGTTTGTACTTCGACCGGCAGAGGAGGAGTGATCCCAATTTCAAGAAGAAGTTGCGCGAACGTGAGTAACTCCATAACCTCTTCATAGTACTTTAAACTCTAAATTAATATTTAGGCGTCCATTTGTAGAGCTTTAATTTTAGTCTCTATTGTTCTTGGACGCACTCACCGTCGAAATAACTCTGTTGCTTCGGTTGTCGCTGGTTTAATAGCAAGCCACTTCGATGTTGCAAACCTAGTTTCCAGGCATGAAGGCATGCTATGAACCTTAAAAAAAATCATGTGTTACTTTACAGTATAGTTTCAATCACAAGTACCCCTTTCCTGGGTTCTTTCGTTTTTGTTATCATTCACTCATTTACTGATGTGTCGATATGTTTTGTTGAGCTGTAAGAAGGAAAACAAAGAGTGCTGATTATCACTTCTTGTGTAGTATTTGTATAGTGATTGTGTCCAGTGGTACGACTCCTCTCAGTGAGATAAAGAAGCCTTCGTCTGATGCATGATTCATTTTGTTGTAGGTCGCAAGGCCAAGAAGGATGCCAACAAGAGGGGTGCATCAAAATTCCCAAATCTGAAAGATCATGAAGCTGTCCAGAAGTTCTTCCTACAAGAGGTAATGAAACTACACAACTATCTTTCATTCATTTTATTCTTTTCCAAGTGATCTTCTATTAATTTTATTTTCTAAATTTCTTTTTCAGATTCAATTGGGAGAAATGATGCTGGCCAGTGGAGAAATTGATGAGGGAGTTGAGCATTTGTCCAATGCCGTAACAGTTTGTGGTCAACCCCAGCAGCTTCTGTCTGTCCTGCAGCAGACATTACCACCTCAAGTTTTCAACCTCCTTCTTCAAAGACTTCCTGCTTTGGGACAGGTTTGTACCTAAAATATTAAATTTGTTGACTGTCAAGGCTTTCTTTCTGTGTGTGTGTTTGTATGTCAATTTTTATTTAATTAATTGTGATTTTTTTTTTCAGAGGTTAATGAGTCATGAAATGGGAAAAGGATTAGAGGATGAGGATGTTGAATAAGTTTCTTCTGTAGAAATGTGGACAGTAGTTTGCGAGTTCCTTTTGTTGGTGAAAGGGCAAGTGATCAAGCTCAGATTAGTGGAGAAGTTGTAATTTAACTATTGCAGCAGTTATTATTAAAATGTTGCCCCAAATACCCTGAAAAGCCTTATGTTTGTATACTATGTATCTTTGTTACCATTGTCTTGATGTACTGCCACAAACTTTTGATCCCATTTTCCCTTGTCATTTGTCCTTCCACCCCCTAGTAAACCAAAACTTAGATTACATCTGTGACAGTGACTTCTTATAGAATAAACACGTTTTTTCATAATTTTTTTTCATTTTGGTAGTTGTTTTTTCTTCTTTTTTTTTAACTTTTATAGTGTAGAGACTCTCAATTTGTTCCCCATTAAGTAGTAATGATCAGACATCCATTCCAAATTAGGTGTGTGTAGTTTCTGATGCGTATAATTTTCATGTTAAGCAAACTATTCTCATTGATGTTAATGTCTTATGTTTGGCCGAGGCAAGTAAGTAATTTCCACTCTGATTTTCTTACAATTTCCTTAGTCCTTCAATAACTTAACACACTTGGTTTTTGTTAATTCATGTCTTTGATCACAACTTATCTTTTTTACATGTGGACCTTGCCTTGCTCAATTAAGTTGAAAAGGAATGGAAATGCACAGCAACAGAAATAATCCAGTTTCATTTCTGTTGTAAAATAAAAAATTCTTTCTTATAGCATGTTTTTTTCTGAATGGCTATCACTGTTAACTTGCAGTTCCTGCTATGGCAGATGGTCCATAATTCATCCTCTGATAAACACATGTGCATGTGTGTGTGAGAGTATGAATGTACCAAGTTTCTGCATTTAGGCATTGGCATTACTTGAAGTTGTTATGAATGGCATGCAAAGTCAGTGAAAGAATTTGCTAATGAGATCAATGCAAACCTTACCATGCACTGTTGTGTCTCCACCTGTCTGGTTGTTTGTTGTTATGTACATAACAAATTTTATGTGAGATATCGAAGTATTTTTTAATCATATTTTGTGAACTCAAATTTGAATTGTACTGCACATTGTCAAAGGTCATTTCTCACTAAACATGTCAATGTTTATTTTCAAAGATGTTGGGTATCACTCTTCTGATATATAAAAAATGAGAGGAGTGTTTACTCTTATCTTTGAGTATGAAAGAGTCCTTAAAAATTTGGCAATATTGGCACAGCATGCATAAATTTAGGAAACATTAGTATTCTTCTCTAATATTGTGGTCAGATGTGTTAAGGAATACTACAGAGTAGAAGTTCCACTGAAGGAATGTAGTTGAGAGATAAAAATAAGTTTATTTTTTCTTCTCTGACAGTGGCTAGTTTTAACAATATAACAGTCAACAAACTCCCTAAGGGGAATAAAATTCTAAATCAATAAATAATGTTTCTTTTATTTTGATCACCTATCTATTCCACGTGCTAATGCTAACACAAAATACATCCAAAGACCATTGTAAGTTGAGCAGTGTAGGATGAAAGTGACGCTGTATTCATGAGAAAGGCTCCTTCACATTCACAATTCCTTCACTCAATGTAAATGTGCTGCAAACTTAAGTCAAGGGCCCTGATAAAAACCTGCTGATAATGAAGCAACAGGCATCATCAAGCAACATCATCAATCTCAAAATTCTACTAAGACTGGATAGCTAGCACACATCAAGGGGCTCAAGTTATGAATAGCTGAGGTCTTCAGATGATACAGATGAAAACATGACAAAAATGCTGTCACAGTATGACGAATGGTGTTAAAGAGAACAAACAATCTTCTCTAGACCAGCTAGGAAAATATGAAGTTTTAGGAGAATTGATGCTTCCTACTACAAGAATAACTTGGCAGCAAATTGTTAAGTAACATTTTTTTTCAGTCTCAAGCACCAATAAGTAAATGTATCAAAAAACAATAGCACATTCATTCATACAAAATGGTTTGTCAAAAACTACACACCAATAAGCTGATTGAGCAGTTTATCACAGCTAGCCCTAAAATGTAATGGTCTTTGCCTCCATGGCAGTCAAGTATGGTCTTTAATTGTAACTAAAATGCACAAAAAGATGCATGGATCTAATGTGATAACAATTAAACAACAAAATTAATTCTTTCAAAACTTAAGAACATGGAAGAGATTCAGATTTCCACTTGTGGAAAACAAAAGATAAAATAAATTGTACTAGTTGATCAGGCTTGATTACAGTCATGAGGGCTCGTTTGCTTTCCTTGCCTCTTCCATTATTGATGAGGCTCCCTCACTAATAAGAGCACTTGCCAAGTCCTGTCCAAGCTTGAATGCTGCTCTGTAATGCTCTATGTCTGATGCTGGGCTGACAATACCACAAAATGTTGTCTGCTGAGATGGTGCAGATTTCTTCCTGCAAAAGAAACAAAAAAGGCAAACTTGTAAGATGCATACATAATTTAGTCCCACATGTACTGTCAGCATGACATTGTGACATGAGCTAACCTTGGTGGCTCTTCTGAACTTTTTTCTAAATTACAGCTAAGTTTCTTAGTCAACTTCTGGTCGCCATCCAGACTCCACACACCACCCTCAAGAACCAAGGTTTTTCCTTCATTACATATCTCAGAGACCACTCCAACAGGTGCTGAACATCCTCCACCCAAAGAACACAAGAAGCTCCTTTCTGCCACCACTTGAAGAGCAGTTTCTCGATGGTGTAATACAGAGAGCAATTGCACAGTCTTCAAGTCATCACCAACGCACTCAACAGCTAAAGCTCCTTGTCCAACAGCATACATCATTTCAGACCCATGTAGAACCTTGTCAAAATCAAAAGGTTTTAATGAACAATTTGAAACACTGCATTGTAAAAGTGATAATGTTGAGTAAAATGATTAAACCTACCTTAGTTATTCTCGGGTTCCAGCCCATACGATTAAGCCCTGCCACAGCTAAAATGATAGCTGAGAATTCATTTTTCTCATCCAGTTTCCGAAGCCGAGTATTAACATTCCCTCGAATACTTTGAACATCAAGATGCGGGAATTTAGAAAGCAGCTGTGCTTTTCGTCGAAGAGAGCTTGTGCCTGCAATAGTCATAGTTCAGTTAACTTCGGGATTGAATCGTATGAAAATTAATGTTAGTAAGGTGTAGTTTACCTATAACACTAGATGCAGGTAAACTGTCTAAGTCGTTGTTTTCTAAATCCTTGTGCATGACCAACGCATCTCTGGGATCTTCTCGTCTAGAACAAGCATTGCAAACATGAGAATCCTTAACATCTATTGAATGTGAGACTGATTTTTTCAACAGAATTAGAGAAACTCTCTTGAATGTATTAAATGAAAGCTTACTCTAAAACTGCACCAATGACAAGGCCTTCAGGAAGAGTCGTAGGGAGGTCTTTGAGAGAATGTACCACAAACTGAACATCTCCAGCCTCCAAAGCAGTCTCAAGTTCCTTGGTAAATAAGCTCTTTTCACCAATCTTTGGTAATGCTTTGTCAAGAATTTTGTCACCAGTTGTGGACATAGAAACTAAAAACACAAAATAAATAATCATTCAGTATTGAAAAGCAAGTAAAACATCTTCAATAGAAAAACTGTACAGCACCGCAGTCCTCTACAATGTAGCCTCTCACCCAAATCGAACGATTTTTCAGGATAGTGTTTTTCCATGAGACCTATGACATGGTTCGTCTGCACCAAAGCAAGCTGTAAAACAAACAACAACAATGAGATATAGAATATAAACACACGTGGCACACGTAACCTTCACCGGGCTTATGATCTTGCACTTCAACGCACCTGGCTGTTGCGGGATCCCACCACAATTTTGCTGATCTGGGCGTCTGCTGGGGCCGGAGGGCTTGTGTCCGTCATGTTGCTGCTTGTTGCCGGTGTTAAGAGTCCTTACAAGACGAGGCACATTTCGATAAACGACACTATGAACAAAATATTTACATATGATTTGTCATCACGGTTCGATCGTCCTCGCCTTCGTCTGCTTGCTCGGACACCCCAACCCTCCCCCCCCCCCTCTCCTCTCCAACCACTTCCGTGACCCGCTTTCGAATCGATGGCCGGCACGCCGGCAAGTTTCTCTTATCTCTTATCAAAACCTCCATGTCATTCCCCTCAGGTTTTACGCGAGCCAGAGTAATTAGGAAGATAATCAACATAACTGCTGAGACAATCTACTGACTGAGAAAAGATTGATAAAAGAATACTTGGGAAAGGATGGTGCATAGTGAGTTGTGTGAGTGAGAATAGAAGAAAGCTCTGGAAAACTTTTAAAAAATTATAAAAAATTGAGCATACCGTAGTTTAACAAGATTATAGAATTTATTGAACAATGAAAGAACAGGGGTATGAAATATAATTTTCCTGTCCAAGGAAATGGGTAACACTTGATAATCAGTTAAAACATTTCATAAGTGAGATTAATACATCAACAGGACTTCATTAACTTGTAGTAATTTCACGCATTTGACGAACTGCTGCAACAAGCTTGGGTTGGCATCCAGAACTTTGAGACTGATATTCGTCCGCAGGAATTCGTAGTAAATTGGATAATTGAGAAAGCTGATCAGAAAGACCCAGGCCCAAGTCCTCAAGTACATTCCCGAGGTAATCTGTAAAAAAATAAAATGGAATATGTTTAAAAAAGTAAAAAAATAGAACCCCAAAAGCGTAGCCTAATTACTTCCAATATGAAATAAATACCTATGTCTGTAGCTAACTGTTTGCAAGCACTTGATGTGAGCTGGGAAATGCCTAAAATGCGGTCACAATATGTGAGACATGTGGTGCGAGCAACTCCAGCCAGTAGTAAATCTGCACTTCCCCCAGCTTCCTCGGAAACAGCAACACTTAGTGCCAGAGTAAGGGCTGGATTGTCACGCAAAAGAAAAGGCTCCAGATGTTGAGGTAAGGTCATCAGATATTGACCAATCTTTAAAGCAAATACAAAATCAATACAGTAATAAACATTTTGTCACAATTTTCACAGTCTTGTAACAAAAGAAAAATTTTATAATAACAATAATAATAAAATACATTTGCTTCACACCTGAGTTATATATTCTTGTGGAGCAAAACTGTAATCAGGCAGGTCTAGAGTTAACGTGACTGGTGATTTTGCAACAGATGCACACCAAGCAGGAGCACTTTGAACAAGATTCAACTGCACTGTTATTGGAGCAAGAATAACTGCAAATGTTGTGCGATGCACATCTCCACAAAGTTTTTCAATTGCACCTAAAACTGATTTTAAAACATACTCTTCTTGACCTGGAAACCAACCAGAAATGTAACTGTATCAAAAACACAAACATCATCAATTTTGTTAAAAATAATAAAACAGCAAAATCTTAAGTAATCACCTTCTTGGAATGATTTCAAAAGAAGATCAAACTCCTTACGGCCAGTTTCATCTAAAAGTAACAGCCTAAAATTTGTAAAGGGGCTAGATTTTTCATCTGGTAATGTTTTAGTGGAGTTAAGAAGGCTTTGCAATAGTTCTTTGTCCAGATGGCGAACTTCACTTAGTAACTGGCCTAGATAGAGATTGTGCATGAGTAATGGAACAAAGGCAACAAGTTAAAGTTTCATAATTGTATCCTTAGGTATCCTTACCTACACCCTGTAGAAGAGAAAGGCACATTTGGAACATGTTCCAATCTTCACCATTTCCCTTTTGTTTATCGAGTCTTTTTAGAGCAGTTTGGAACTGCTCTAAATAATTATTGAAGTATGACTGTAAGAAATAAATTTTTCATTTAAATGAATGCACTTAAAACAAAATTATTACAGATCAAATATTTTTCACACATTGAAATCACAGTTACCTTGATAGCCTTGAGTAATCCAATAAATGCACACCCATGACTGAGCTGAAAGCAGCGCTTCTGGGCATCAGTCATAGTTCCCACTGCACTTGTCACCGACAAACCCAATGATTGTACCGTTTCTGCAAGGTCCTCTTGAGGCACAATATTTGAGGACATTTGCTTCTTTAGGTTTTCTGATTCCAGTTTTGAATATTGTTTTACATATGGGATCCAAGTGTGATACACAGACCGAGCAAGCGTGAGTATTTTCTCATCAGGCACTGAGTATTTTCCTGAGATACCGGTAGGGAAATGTCAATAAATAATAAATACATTTCTTTTTTTAAACCAGAGATTCTGATAAATTGAGTGACATAATTCACCTTGACTGGATGATTCAATGGTAGCCTGGAGGTTTGCCACAAATTGCTGAGTGCACTGACTCAATTCTAAAAGTAAAGAAAGTGGATCTGCTTCCTCCTTTAGTGGACCATCAAAACAGCTATTGAGGCTTGGCTCCAAGGAAGCAAGAGTATCCGAAAATAAATCAACCAATATCGATGGGGGAGGGATGGATGTAAAAACTTGGCTGCACCATTTTACCTGCAACGTGATATCAATAACAGGAAAATAAAATCTGGCATGAAGTATGAAGAAACAGCAGCCTTTGCTGGTTCAACTCGGTAACCAACCTGATCATTCCAGGCAGCCAAGAACATTTCATAGCACGATTTTAATAGATGAACTACTCCTTCATCCTGTTCAATATCAACAATGGTCCTCCACTGCTGGAGAAGAATTCCCTTTTGACATTTATGGTAGTATTTGAGAAGTTGAGACAAGCGATCCATATTAACAAAAATACGAACATAAACACGGGACTGATCTGCAGAAATCATAGAACGCAATACTCATGAACCTTGTTGGATCAGCGCTTAAAATTCTACATTGTTCAATCTCGTAACACACAAACCTATGGAGCCAGATGTAAAAGCTTGAACAAGACGAGGGCTTGCAATTGCCTCTAAACGGTTTTTGAGCCCTTCCAACTGCAATCGTCGTTCTTCATAGTCAGGCACACTTGTCAAGGCCCCCAACGATTGCTGCATTTTGGTTAGTCTTGACGACATACTTTCAATATCTCCCGATTCAAATACCTGATACATTAATACCAATTATAATTTTCCAATGAGTTATTGGTTCAGAACATGTATGACAAAAAATACCTCTTCAAGATCAGCAGCCAATAAAGACCAATTGTCTGCTTCATGCAATGCTTGCTTTGCTTTTTGGAGCCGTGTTTTTAATTGGTCTATGTGCTCCAGTGTTGCTAGTGACTCCCCAGTGTCACTCTGAACTTTAGACATTTCTTCTCGGACCGTTTTCATTTTCTCTCGGAGCATTAATGCTTCCTGTTGAAGAATATCAGTATCACGCATCACGCGCGGTAAACTTTGTAGAACCTGCAAAAAGAGTACTCATCAATGAAATAGCTCATTTCATGTTTCAATGCGATAGTGGATGCTTACCTGCTGGCTAGTTTCCTCTAATGAACTGTTCACTTGTTGAACGTAGAGTTGTAGTTTCATAACCAGAGATGATGCAAATACCTGCAAAGAAAAAGAAAATATTGAAACATATTTTTGAATCCAATGAAAGAAAGGAGACTGGCTCACATGATACCAAACCTACTTACATCTCGATTTTCTTTAACTTCAGGTGACCTAAACGTAGTATTTATCCAATCCCTTGCATTGAAATTGTCATCAGAAAATGCTGACATATCCTACATTGCAAAGAAAAGAACACACAATAACAAAAACTAAAGGCAGTCTTATCCCAATAAATAAACAGATACATTTGAATTAACAGAACTAAACTTGAGCCAATGAACAATAACCTTAACTCAACCAAGTATACGTACCATGATGAGAAGATAAAGAGGTAAATTGAACACCAGCAATGCTATTCTATACTGATTTCAGCAAAATAATATCTAAACAGGAAATATAATTGTGCAAATTTACATCATTGTCACCCACAATGACGGTTTCTGTTGACAAACACTGAACTGACACTTGGCAGCCGGACATAAAGAACAAAAACAAAAACAAAAATGCTAGCAGACTACAACGGTGAAATGAGGACCAATCAGGAGCCCGGAAGCAGAACAGTCACCATGAACCCATGAACACGTGTGGTTGTCCGAAAATGTGACTCAAGATATTAGGATATGTCAGGTCGCTGTCGCTCTGCAAAATCGGTGTGCGCATTCGATTGACCGTCAGAACGAAACGGACACGTTTCCGCTCCCACGAACTGCAGCTTCAGTCACCAGAACCAAAATCCCACGTGCCGGCACCGCAGGACCGAAATGGCACGGACCAGGCAGACGAAGCGAGGAAGGAAGAAGCCGAAGCCGACTGCGTCAAGCAATGACAACGACGTTGTCGAGAAATCGGCATCGGCGATAGAGCCTCCGTCCGTCGATCTCCAGCACACTGCTCATGGGCAGGGCCAGCAGGGCCGCCAAGAAGCGAGGGCCAAGGAAGAGCCCTTGGAGTGGGGCCTGTCCCAGGTCAAGGCAGAACCTGTCGATGACACCGACGATGGGGCGTATGGGATGCATCTCGGTGACATTGAGCAGCAGAATCCGGAGCAAGGGTTTCAAGCTAGAATCAAGGCTGAGCCCGAGGAGGATCATGAGCGTGGCAGGGTTCATAAGGAAATAACCGAAGCCGAGCCCCAACACATGCGGGTGAGTAAGCCTCCATTTCCTATGCACCGTAGTGATTGCTGTTGTTTTTTGTTTGTGACAAAATTGGACAAAAGTTCACAGTAAACAACGAGGGGAGGGAGGGAGGGCTTTTTAAATAGCGTCGCTCATAGTCGGGCTCACACTCTATTAGAGTCCTAAAGGCCCAAAGGGGGATCCGCGAACTTGAAAAAAGTTCGATTTTGCTTCTCAACTCGAAGAAAGTGCATGCGTAATTCCTCAATTTTTTTTTGATGTTGGGTCGTTTCTGGGCCTCGTGAAGCCTATGAGCCCTGGTAGCACTTCGAACAAGTCCCATAACCTCCTCACTCTCTATAATAGTTTGAAGACTCCCTTTAATATCGCATGTCGACAGTTTAAACTTTTGAGGCTCATCACGGAATTTTTGAAACCACGCCGGAAGCGGAAAAAGCACGGCGGACATTTTTTTCGTCCCCACGCTTTTTTTTGATTTGGTCGTCTGCTTGAGGCATCTTGAGATCAAGGGGTTGACGGCGCTTGGAAAAGGCCAAAAACTCCTCATTTCTCTAAAATAGGCAACTGAACAGTTATGAACGGCAGATGCAAATGTTTAGACGTTTTCAGGCTCTCTAGACAAACTTAAAACGCAAGCCGGAAACGGGAAACGCATGGGGGAATTTTTGGGCGTCAATGAGCCCCAAAAACGGTCAGAAGTCAAAACGCGGGTTTGCGGATCTCCCCTTTAGGGGCCCTTTTGGACTCTACACTCTATTGAGAGCGTACGTAAATTTTTCATAACACGGATCAGCTAGCCTCGCCTCACTTGGGCTCGACGGATCGACGTCCGGTTACGTCCGGTCCGGTGGTGTGGTGTGTGGTGTGGTGGTGGTGGTGATCGTTCGTTTCGTTTCGGCGTGGCAGTGAGAAGATTGGGGCTCTTTGACGTGGACAAGTTTGCTCTTTAGTAAGCAAATTTTGTCCCGCTTTCCCCACAATGGGAGCATCAGAGGTATGTACTTGCACTGTGAATTGCGGCGTCGCTAACAAATCCCCTATTTTGTTTACTTTGCGTGTGGGTTATCCAGTGCCTATGCAAAGAGTTGCGCGAAGGGGCGAGCTGACTAGCCATTATTACTGCCATGGTTTTAGAGATGTCTTCCTTTAACTTTTCTTAACCATTTTCTGGCCTTTGCCTTATTTGACTGTCGACGATTCCTTTTTTTTTAAATTTAGTGAGTTAGGTTCATGGTTTTTCACCGAACATGTGTGTGTGTGCCTATTGGCCTAGCCTAGCCGGTATTCACCATTTGCTTCGCTACGACGCAAAATTTTAATTTGTTTTGTTCGTCCATTCCTATTATTCGCTATACATCCTGTAGCAAGACCCGTTTCTTTTCGACAAAAGTGTGTGTCTAATGCGTTTTTCTTGGAGATGGCCTGCATTTTTCTTGTCAAGAGCATAGGCTGACATGTTGTTCTTGGTTTGGTGCGATAATTTATATATGATAAGGCTGGCTGAGTCGGCCCATACAGTATGATTCATACCATATCTACCAAGAGTATTATCAGGAACAACTCTAATTTATCATTAATAAAGAGTATTCAATTTTTTAAAATGTGAGGTTATAGGTATACATCTCGCTGAAGGTCCACCAATAACATGGTGGAGGGAGTCCAATAATGATGGGGAGTAGCTATCTCCATCTCCTCTGTTCACTCGCTTCACACAAAGCCTTCTCTTTTAATCTCTTACTCTTCTCACTTTAGACTACACTTGAGAGTGCTGTTGGCCACATTTGAAAAAGGCATAGTGTTGTAAACTTAAAAGCAAAACTGACATGGTGTTTTTCTGTTCTTTCCAGGAGGGAAAGTCTGAGCCTGAACAGCTGCGTAAGCTGTTCATTGGAGGATTGGACTACCGCACTACCGATGAATCTATGAAAGAATATTTTGAACAATGGGGCGAGGTTGTAGATGTTGTTGTTATGAAGGATCCGAAAACGCGAAGGTTAGCATCTTCACAGGAGTTACTCAGTTTCTTAATAGCCTCCAAGTACTATCTTAACAAAGTCTTCTTGCCCCTTTTTCTCTCTAGATCCCGTGGATTTGGCTTTATTACATATGCACAAGCTCATATGGTTGATGCAGCAATGCATGCAAGACCTCATAAAATTGATGGACGAGAAGTTGAATCAAAACGAGCTGTGCCACGAGAGGTTTGTCATCAATTTCAATGCTTCCCTTGCAGAGGACTTGGCCCAAGCTAAATGTGTCACCAACCGGCCTCTGTCTGCTGAAGAGACTGTCTGCCAAGTCCGGGAATATTCTTTTTCTTCTTTTACCCGGGCCAAGTCCTCTATTTCTCCATGCATTTTCATACATTTCTCATTTACATATTTAACTCTTTGCAGGACATTGGCAGGCCAGAGGCTGGTGCCACTGTGAAGAAATTGTTTGTGGGCGGAGTCAAAGATGCTCACACAGAAGATAACCTCCGCAGTTACTTCAGTCAGTTTGGTAATGTTCAGCAAGTTAGCATCGTCCTCGACAAAGAAACCGGCAAGAAACGAGGCTTTGGCTTTGTTGAGTATGACGACCATGATGCAGTCGACAAATGTGTACTCCACAAGAATCACACTGTCTGTGGACACACGGTGGACGTGAAGAAAGCCATCAGCAGGGCGGAACTGCAGTCGGGAGGCGGCCCTAGGGGAGGCGGTGGCGGAGGCGGAGGCCGCGGGGGTGGTGGCGGCGGCGGCTCTGGCTCTGGCTGGGGAAACACTGACAGCTGGGGAGGCCGGGGAGGCGGCGGTGGCGGCGGCGGCAACAGCTGGGGTGAGTACTCTTTGGTTCTTCAGGATCTACCATGAATGTCCTTGCGCGAGTTCTCACCTGACATTAAAATATAATTTCATTTCAGGCAACCAGGGTGGCTATGGAGGGGGCCCATGGGACAACCAGTCAGGTGGATGGGGCAGCCAGGGTGGTAACCAGAGTTGGGGCGGTGGCATGTCAGGAGGTGGCGGCGGTGGCTATGGAGGGGGTAAGTTAGAAGTCTTTATTTTCCGGATGTGCAAGTTTGTTAAATTTGCTAGTTGTTTTTCATTCATGCTTATTTGCTTATAGGAGGATATGACAACTATCAACAGAGCTATGGCGGTGGTCCAGTAAGGAACAACTACGGTTCCTCCAACCGCAGTCAACCCTACGGCGGTGGTGGTGGCGGCGGAGGTGGCAGCGGAGGTGGAGGTAAGTGTATTTCAGTTTCAAATTGTTTGTTTTTCTCATGGTTTGTGGTGCGAATGTTCTACAATGATTCTGGACGTCTGCAGGCTATGGCGGCGGTTCTGGCGGAGGATATGGCGGTGGACGTCGCTACTAGTGGCTGCTTCTTTGGTAAGTAATTTTTGAAGTGATGTGTGTGAACTGATGTTGAATTCTGTTAGTGGATGGCAAGTAAGGTACTTGGTGGCAAACCAGATTGAAGGATTTAATTTATTTTTAGCTTGCATGTTGGGTTGGACAGTGGTCACTTTTGTTTTTTCTCAGTAAACTTTGGTGGCTTGGAGGGCTCAGTGTGGCATTCTTGACAATGCTAAAGTTAGTGGGTTGTTTTTGTACTCATTCTTTTGATTTGTTCTTCTGTAGACTTATTTCCACACTTTTGGCAGTATGCTCAGGCTAGTGCAGATGTAGAATTTTCTATATAAACCTAGCATCTTTGATGAATTTTCTTAAGAAACAATAATTCTTGCAAAGTTAACATTCAGCTTGGCACTTTCTCTAGAATTCTTTGTTCTCTTTTCCTGTCTGTGATGCATAATGACTTGGGAATCTGTTTCATTCTGTATAATTTTCAGCCTGTAGTTATCAACTCTCATGCTGGGAGTTGCATTTACAGGGTGGTGAGCATTTTAGTTATTCCTTCCTCTCAACCTGGAAATGTTAATGCTTATGGTGCATGCCATGTGTCATTTGCCGCAAACCTGCTTAATTTCACACCTTTTCCTGCACATAACATTTTGAACAGTTAAATGTGTTGTGTTTTATCTGTCTATCTTTGCAGTAAAGTTTTCAGCTTGAATGCTGTAGTATTTAGACTTCAACATTTATTTCAACAAGTTTAAGTTTGATTTCAAATTTTTTGTTTGTAGGGTTGTACAGACTATTTCTATTTTTGTCATTAACAATTTAAAAGCCCAGCAGAAAGTAAATTCACTAGTTGCAAATTCTGGTCTTTGGACAGGCTTCCATAAATCACATCCCAGGGAGCACGTTTTGTAATTTTACTTGTAGAGTGAAAGGCAATTGTCAGGTGGGACAATTACACAAAACAGCTGCATTTCCATGAGTTTTCCTCTAATTGGGCTACTTTCTTCTACTTTCATACTAGTACTATAAATTGATCATTATCACTGATCACTTGATTTAAGAACATCTTCCTGAATGAAAATTACAACTTGCATATTAGCTCTTAGTAGTGAATCTTTCTAGTGAATCTTACTTAGGACTTGTTCTCATTTTTAGATTAAGGTAACTTTTGCACTCAGCCTGAGTTCTCAGACTTTTCAGTACAGTTTCTCCAAATTGAACTATACCACAAATTTTTCTTATCAATAGGGGCCATTACAGACAGTTTGGAGAGCACCATTTGTTGCTAAAACTAAATTGTGTTTCCTACTGCTCCTCACGTGTGGCTTGATTTAACTGCCCTTTAGGTAGCTGCTCACTGTACTGAAACATGCTTTATTGCATTAGCGTGTACCTATACAAGCCATAATGTAATAAATGCGAGAGGCAAGAGACTGAGTGGCTGATCGCCATGTTGTAATTTTTCCAACTAGACTGTAGGTGTGACTAATATATGTTTGCGTTTGCTGCCATAGGTAGTTCATGGAGTCAGGCAGGCAGGCAGGTTAGGCAGTTAGAAGACAGCCTAAAGCTCAATAAGCCACACAACAGCCCAGGAGCAGGAGCAGAACAGGACGTTTCCATCTGAGCGTATAGTTTGAAGGATTTTGTGCGATGAGACTGTCTCACTACTCTCGCTCGTTTATTGTTCATCTAAGGAAAGATTTTCCCCATTTAAAAAAAAAAGATACCTTAGACTCAGCTGCATGATGTGCCTTGTTGGTTTGTCTACACTGTTGAGGTTTTACATGCTGTGTGAATGCGATAAAGCTAGTTATTTTGATACTTATGTTTGGCTGATGAGGGTCAACCGGTGTAACAGATTGATAGTACCCATGACTCCCTTTGCAGGAAATTTGCAGTAGTGTGAATATGACATCTCAGCTGTGCTTGGTCCACCCATGATTGTTGATGTCAAATTAACACTATTGTTTGATTTCTGTCAAAGACTATCAGCATTTTGCACTGGTTGTTAAGGAGTTGATCAGTGTGGCCATCACATTCTGCAGATAAAATTTTAGAGGTTGGTTGTTTAGTTAGATATTTTGTTCAATACAAAACTTCTGTTGAATACATGTAATTTAGAACATAGTTTTGTTTATGGTTATTAAGCAGACTGATTAATGTTGACCTCGAGCCTTATACTTTAACAAAATTGAGGGTGAGTGTTATTTTTCTGTATCAGGTAGTTATTGGTATGGTAGATATTAGCCGGATCTACTAAAAGTTTATTTTCAGATAATTTTTCCTGCCACTCAACATGTCACTTCATTCAGTCATCATTAATTTGCAGAGTTCCATTATTTTCTCAAGTACCTTGTGTGGTGCAGGAGGTGAATGCTTGATAGTGTGCGTGTGTGAGTGCAAGTCTTGTGTTTGTGTGTTGCACGATAAAGTTTTAATTATTCAGAGTGCAAATCTTGCCGCAAGAATTTTAAGTGCACAGATCTGTACGAGTTGACTGCATGGTGACTACGTATGAGCGAAATGTGGACCATGTTATATTTAGGCTGATAGATGTTGCAACCCAAAGTCCCAATTTTTTCTCATTTATCTTTAATTTGCATTCGTGAGTTTTATAAGTCTAACTGCATTATGGTCTGATCATAACATGAGGTATCGATCTATTTCCATTGGTAGATAAATTAAAGTATTTAAATCATGGACTTTAGTCATAAGGTTATAGGAGCCTCATAGCAATTTATTTTCATCAATAAGGAAATTCATTCCTTGAATAGGTGTTGCTTATGCTTATTCTTGTGATTGAAGAATTGGGTCCACTGGTTTCCTTGCACTCCAACCAAATTCACCTTGTTCATAGTTACCTGTGCTTTTTTTTCATCACTTATAATAAATGTTTCTACCTATACCAAGGCGTATTTCTCTACTTCATCCCCCATCCCTCGACACTACATGGGCCCGAAAGGTTTTCTGGGAAACCCCACAAATGGTTCAGAACAGGGCGGACACGGACACACATCCAGCGCCACCCCTCCCCTCCCGCGCCGTGCGAGGTGCGTGGTGGTGCGGCGCTCCCTTTCTCGGCACGTGATTGGCCGCCCGTCCTGGAATGACGTCAACCCTGTGGCCGCGGGCCAATCAGAGGGCAGAGTTTCCTGGGGAGGGGCGGGTGCCTGGTGGCGTCGCCATGGAAACGGGGCTGCTGCGGCGCTGGAGCAGCGCTCGCCGTGTGACGTAGGGCCTCACCGCAAGGGCCTAGTCTCAAGGGGTGGGCCTGGCCCAGGCCTGGCCGCCGGGGCGTGACGTCACCGCCTCAGCCTGACGTCGGCCCGACCGTCTCCTGCCTGGCCGGCCTGGCCCCGAGCACAGGCCGGCGGCACCACCGGCACCCAGCGAGACGAGGCCGGAAACGAACCTGTCACGGAACCCGCACGGGAGCCACGTTCTCGTCGTCTGTCGTCCCGAGAGGCATTGAGAGTCCTCGCACACTCACCGACCAGAAAACGAAGGACTCAGATGTCTCCGTTTTCTGGTGGGAGTATAAAATTCCCTACACGATGAAATGATTACGTAGTGCAACGGTAAAATTCATCGTGCCTTCCGATGAATCACGCGTGCGTGAAGCACTTAATGTCGAAAATATGCACAATACAATGAAATCATGCGCACCTCACACTGAAAAATACGCATTGGTGCAAATTCAAACGTGTACCCTACTATGTCAAATCATATCGCAACACGGTTGAAAACAATGTAAAGGAAGTTGGCGTGCCGGGCGGGGCAACGACCATCTGACAAAGCCATACCAATTCAACGAGTTCACATGGACCAGCACTCTGTCCTCAGTCGGCAATACTCTGCGCTCGCTGGGGTCCTTTACCGGGAGGCGAGGGGTATCCCCGCATCCCACGCACGGACGGCATCTGGAACAGGTGGGGTGAGGCTCGGAGGGAAAGGCCACGAAGCGCTACTTGAGCTTCAGAATGCAATTCAAGCCTGTTTCCGGGTTCAATTCTGTCTCTGGAAGAAGGACCCTGACTAAAACGGTGGTGCTGGTTGCGTCGGGGCCTCAGCACGATTATTTGTGGTCTAGCCTCTTAAGGCAAGTCAAGAGTCAGCCTGTGAATGGCGGGGTAGGCAGGCCCGCGACGCTCGCCCGCAGTGCGCGTGGCCGACCCTCGCTGGACCGTTACCATTACCATTGCGGGCTAGACCACAGCTGTCCGAGGCAGTCGCTCCCTCAATCGCAGTGTGTGTGCGTGTGCCGGCGGCCCGGCGGCGTCGCCGCCACTCTAGTCCGTTGTCCCTGGCAACGCTGGTCCTCAATGACTGCCGTCCCCCTGGTCGCGAGGGACTTGGGACTCGGGGCGGAAGGTCAAACGTCAGCAGACAAGAGACAGGCATGTCCAACAACAACCCCCGGCGTGCAGCAGACATTCCGAGAGTCGTTTTCATCTGTCTGTCTCTCTATCATCCATGGGGCGTGCCGTGTAGGTGCGGGGGAGACAGGATGGCGGAAACGACTCTCGCAGTCAGTCTGCTGCCTGCCTGGTGGAGAGCCAGAGGAAGGCGGAGGGAACAAGCCGCTATTGCTGCGGAGCAGGCGCGGGCCCGCCAACAGGTCCTTCACGCAAGCCGATTTCGAGCCGCGCTACGTCTCTCTCACACCCCAGGACGGGCGTCGCGTTGCGTCGGGGTGCGAGAGAGACGGAGCGACGAACCACTGTTTTGAATGAAACTACTACCGCCAACAGGTTGCGGCAGTGCCCTGCTCCAGGGCGCGGTGTGTGGCCGCGCCCCACCGTAGGGCGTGAAGTCGGTTTCGTTCCCTGCTTCCAGCTCCAGCCTCGTCGAGCTTCCCTCCGCCTTGCGGCGCCCCGCGGCGACGGCGTGCTTTGTTCACGTGCCAGCGGCTCGGGCTGCGCGGGCTGCGCGGGCTGCGGGGCTCAATATGCAGATGCGCCCTCGCGGGCCTCGCGGGCCTCGCGGGCCTGGCGGCGTCCTTGGAGGAGCGGAGCAAGCGGAGATTGGTAAGGGGCCTCGGCCCGGGCCGGGCATGCCGGGGCCTGGGTGTTTTCTCAAGCGCAAGTGAAAGCAGAAGCACGCCTACGAGGAGCCCGTCGGGCCGAGGCCTTGGCTGGGGCTGCCGTTCTCAATGCAGGGGGACAGCAGCTTCTCCGGGCGCACGGTGGGCCAGAGGACCGGAGCAGGCGGCCAAAACTCTAGACGCGTTTTGAGCTCCAGAGTCGCTAAACAAGACTCGAACCGAACGTGTGACCCCACCAATGGATTCCTCGTTCGGAGAGCAGTTCATTGGTGGGGTCACACGTTCGGTTCGAGTCCCATTTAACGACTCTGGAGCTCCAAACGCGTCTAGAGTTTTGGCCGCCTGCTCCGGTCCTCTGGCTGGCCCACTGTGGGGCGGCCACCTGTCTCAGAATCCTCCCCGGGCGGACCGAACGGGCCTGGCGCGAGGCTAGGGCGCCGTTCTCAATGCAGGGAGACAGCAGCTTCTCGGGCGTCCACCTGTCTCAGAATCCTCCCCGGGCGGGCCGAACGGGCCTGGTGCGAGGCTAGGACGCCGCTGGGCTGAGACAGCCCACCGTCAAGCCGGCTGGGCTGGGGCCGCTGGGGCTGGGGGCGCCGCTCGCGAGGCTAGCCTTGCCGGGGCGGGGCGCGGCCATGGCGCGGCCGGGCCTGAGATCGATAGTGCCGCCGCGCGAAGCCGACAGAGTGCGCCACCAAGTGCTTCGTCTTCTCCGCATGGCCGGTGGCACCAGCAGCCACATTCATGCCGGAGGGGGACATTTTTCATTACCGGTTTCCGGGAAGTGGACCATCAAGGGTTGATGCACGCTCGGGGCTGCTTTTTGTGCTCGATTGCCATAGCCGCGGTTCGCAACCAGCTGCCACCAGGTGGAAAAAGTGGACACACACCGGTTGGGTCTTTGCCTCAGGGCGATCAGGGAGCGGAGAAGGACACGCTTTCAGAACAACATGGTCGTCGATCGGGGAAAATTCAGGGAAACAAAATAAGGGTAGGAGCGTCGAAAAATGTAGGGGAGTTCAGCACAAGCCTCAGGGAAAATCGAAGATTCAGCGAAAGCACCTCCCATATCTGCTACGTCACTTTGGATATCCAAATCGCGGCGCGTGTGGGCGCAAAAAAGCCGGGGGAATACTTCGAGTTGGACAGGGAAATGTGAGGAAATGGAGATGCAGTGAGCCAGGCGGAGGCAGGTGGGCGGCGTGTTGGCGGAAGTGGGTCGGGGCCGTGCCGTCCGCGTGCCGTCCGGCCGAGCTGCCTGTCCCGTCCACTTCCACGCCGCCGAGGGGATGAATAACCAGGCAGCCGTCCACCTGTCCACGTGCCTGCATTAGGCATCATGCACGCTGAGTGCCTCCACGGCCTCCTGCCAGTCGGCCTGCGCGGCCCGGCCCAGTGACGCGCGAGGGGGCGGCAGAGGGGGCAGGCTTTGCCTCCCTCGGAGGGCACGGCGAGAGGGGCGCGCTTCGCCATGCTTGGCCGCGCTTGGCGGGACAGCCCAGGGCTGCCCAGGGCAGGCGGGCTTTGCAGTGCTCTGGCTCTGCAGCCTAGACACGTGTCGACCTGGCGGGCTGCCGGAGTGCCGGGCCGGGGCTGCACTGTGGGGGGATGGGGATGGATCCATGAATGGAGGGCGAGTAACGCCAACGCCTACGTCAGAGCCACGCGGAGCCACGCGCGGCGCTCCCTCCCCTTCATTGAGGCCCGCGGCGCGGCGCGGCGTCCATTCAGCAGCGCTCGCTCGGAGGGGAGGGGCGGGGGTAGGTCTAGGATCTCGGAGCAGGGATCTCGGATGTGGGTTAGAGCAGAATGGTGAATGGGACACGCGGCGTGATTGCGGTGCTGCCAGTCACTTCCTACGCCTCGGCACCTGGAGGCTGTGGCTTGTGGCGCGGCGCTGCGGCCACGGCGACGGATCGACCAGGAATTTCATTACCCGAAGCAGAAGCAGGTCACGCCGGGGAAGGGGGCGTCCGGGCGGTCCTGGCGTGCACCTGCACTGCACGTCCACCGCGCGCTGCCATTGGTCGCCCACGCCAGCGGCGCCGTGGAAGGCATTCCGCGGGGATGCAGTGGCCTCTCTGTCTCTCTCTCTCGCACCCTCAAGAAACGCCAGGCGCCCCGTGAGTGCGAGAGAGACGGAGCGACCACAGCCTGCAGTTCGGCTCGTTTCGGCTGGCATTTCGCTGGCGCGTCCGTGACCCCGCGGCCTCCTGGCGCATCCGCGCGACGCGACGACGCCGTGGTGACAAACAGTTATGGGCGCGGCGTTGCGTCGCGTCGCGTTGCGGGGATGCCCGGCGGCCCGGCGGCCCCACCCACGCCGGCCTTGTCGAACGACGGAACGACGGTCTGCCGAGACAGTCTGCCGAGGCAGTGTCGGTGCAGAGCGGCGCAAGTGCGGCGCTGGCGGCGGCAGTTGCTTCCCTCGGCCGTCGGCAAGGAACCCGCCCGCCGCCCCCACCCCGGCCTGCGGGACTGATTCCGGGAGTCGCATTCGTCGTTCTGTCTTTCTTGCACTCACAAGGGCGTGTAGGGAGACAGAGTGACGAAAAGACTCGGAATCAGTCTGTCGGATGAACTTCCCACGCTGCACACAGCCATGCTGCGCCATGCAGTGCCGGCTCCTTCCCTGCAAGCCCGGCCGCCCCCATTGAGCCCCCAGCCCACTGCATAATGGCCCCATTTGTGCAGCCCGCGGAGGCCCAAGGCAGCAAAGTTGGCCAAGTTCCCCGGCCGATGCCGATACGTCGCGCCTCGGCCGCGGAGGCGAGCGCCTTATGTCTGCGGGATAGGCCACCAGCGCAACTGCAGTGCGGCCCCGTCGCCTACCCGCCGGGCGCTCTGCCGCCTTGACGACA